ATAATGAAATAGCGCGCCATGGCTTTCATCTCTTTCTTGCTCTCTTTACAGGAAAGCTAAATTTATGAATACCTTTGTGTGCCCTCAGAATTAGATAAAAGGTGGTGCTGGTTGGACATGGAATAAAGAACAGCGAACTGTGATCATTAGATTTTTGCGTACGTAGGTTAGGGTTGCTAGGTAGGTAGCTTAGACGCTATTTAACAGTAAATCCAGTATATTTTTTAATATTATGCAAGGAATGGTAGCTATATATAATAAAATAATTACTAGATTGACTGTTAAATAGGCGAAATAGTCAATCTAGTAATTTTATGCATCGTCAGAAAACAGTTTATTGACAACAACGCCTGAGTAAATAGTAACCCTAACCTACGTAATTATAAATCACCGGTCTTTCACCGTTCACTGTGATTTTGTCCCATGCCTAATGTTGGTCCTATGGCAAATTAAAACATAATTTTAAGTTTTTTTTGGTTGAGATACCCGACGTTTCTACTAAATCACACCGAGCGACGGTTGTCACATTAAAACAACAGATTATATATAGCGAAAGTGCAAAAATAAATCTGACAGTTTCTTTCTAAGTTTGATAATTCCAGACACTGAAAATAACATTTTCCTCATAAGTCCAAACCAAACATGTTACGTAACGGGGCCTGAATACCAACTTTGCTGTCTCCAATCGGTACTAATCCTGCTAATTGGCAGTTGATAGAGCTCGCATTACGAGACGGGATTTCTCCTAATGATGTAGCTCCGTTTACAGTAAGTTTGTCTGTAAATAATATATATTACTGTGTAGTTTAAAAGCCTTAGTTAACGATCCTCAGTACACTAAATATTAAACTGTAATCCAACTTTGTATTAGTACATTATTACTTGTGAGGAGAGAAATTGTCGGAACATGTTACGCGCTGGCTTCGCCGCCGTGGAGGCTCTCCAGCCGGTCATCGCCGAGTGGGCAGGGCGGCAGCACGGGACCCTTACCTTCCGGCTGACGCAGGTGCTTTCAGTGCTGTCCGTTGCTTCGGAAAGTACCTGCACTCGGTCGCTAGGAGGGAACTGAGTCCCGCCTGCCACCACTGCGACTGCAGTGAGGACTCGGCCCAGCACACGCTGGCGGTCTGCCCCGCATGGGCGACGCAGCGCCGGTCCCTCACTGCAGTAATCGGAGTGGATCTCTCGCTACCGGCCGTAGTACGCTCCATGGCCGGTAGCGACAGTTGCTTTCCTTCTGCGAGGAAGTAATCTCGCAGAAGGAGGCGGCGGAGAAGGCCCGGGAGGACGACCTCCACTCGGACCCGATCCGCCGCCGGTGAACCGGGCGGCGGAGGCGCGCTTACCTGCGCCTCATGCCGCCCTGAGTGTGGCCGCGGGTGGACAGGGTGGGTTTCCCCTCCACCCGCATTAGTTTGGCCAGCCGCGAGGGGGCGGCGTCCGCGTGTGCCGGACGTCGCCTAAAAAGAGAGGAAATTTTTTGAGACGGAGCCCGCAACAGGAGCGGGCCGGCGCTAGGAGGGGTCCGGATGTCTTAATAACAGCTGTTCCCGGATCCCTCCTATTACAGGCACAGAGTGGCACACCGTGTGGTTTTAGTCGGTCCGAGTCCGACACACCACCCCGCCGCAAACCCCGGTGGGGTGACGGTCCGAGGGGATTTCCACAGGTTAAAAAAAAAAAGAAAGGGTTTCTGTCAAGTTTTCCTTCTCTCGGAGGTGCTGTTGCTGTTTTTTCCCTTAGTCGGCTCTAACGACACCCACGGGATGAATAGGGGTGGTGAAACTCTGTATTCTTGATCCGTCACCACACGGACCTGACAGACGTCTTTTGTCACGTTCCAATTTATCTAAGTTATTAAATATTTTTACTCCATAAACAAAACTTTTGCATAAATAGAAAGTAATGCTAAAACGTCTGCTGCAAGCATAAGTAAATTTACCAGTTTTGGGCATTCGCCATAAGACCAAAGAATATTCGGTCTTAAGTAGAAAAAAATCATTAATAATATGTTTTACTAAACGTATAAAATATATTTTATTTAACTGATAACTCTATAATTTAAGTATCGTAATAACGGTTAATTATCTTCATTAAAGTCATTGTATGTATTATTATAAGTACCTTAAATTTGTACGCCTGTAAATTATTTACTTCATTTAAAATTTAATACATCATTTTAACGTCATAGCAATTAAAACCAAAGATTAATTTCTAATACTCACTTTGGCAAAGGTAACTTTGCCGTTCGGCCTACTTAAACAGTTAAGCATCGGTTCTAGTCTGCATAACCATCAATTCTGACAATTAATTCTATTATTTATTAATGCTGGCGCAGAAAATGGCCGATAAAATTAGTGTGGGAAGCCTTTGCTGTGTTATTTAATTGTATTTATTCGACCAGCCAACTCTCTAAGTCTGGTTTTCTAAAGCACAGTGTACAAAACCAAAAGTTTTTTTTTTAAATTTTAATATGTTAAATTTTCTTAAATATAAAATTATTTACTTGTTTCTATAAAACGCGTAAATACTTTGGCCGAATTTGAATTAGGTACGTTATCTGAATTCCGTCTTAAAAGTTATGGAAGCATTCAAATAAAGAGATGTACTAAAACATTTTCATAACACGAAAAGTACGAAATCTTTTAACATAAGCTTTACCTTCTCCTGAAGTACCAAAGTTTAGGTACTTTTTATTTTATTCCCCCTTATTTTTACACAAAGTTATAACAAATATAAAAATTCAAAAAGTCATAAAAATGGAAACTCTGAAAATGTAATGCTGTGTACAGACTGCCAAATAGCAACTGAAAACATTTTAGAATTTTGACAACCCGTCAAATGCTTGATCGCCTTCTAAAATAATTATCTCTAAAATCCCTAAAAAAATACTAATCCTTGTAATTATTAATGTTTAAAATATGAACTAGACGTTGTTTCTTTGTGTGTCAGTTAAGCAATAACTTGACACACAAAGGTACGTGTTTTTTATGGAATAAGGGGCTAACAAACGGGTCAGGCGACTTCCTTTCTAGGGTATACTTACGTATACTATAGGGTGTCCGACATGCCACTGATAGGTGGTATCCAAGGGGATTTCCGCACGGAAAAAAGAAAAAAAAAAGATGCCCTCCTGTCGCTCTAGAGAATCTATTATTATTTTAAAATAGAGTGCTTGTCTGTACACACGCTTACAGTAGGCTCGTTGAAATAAAACGTAATTTTTGTAAAACTTTAAAATGTTACTCCAAACGTTTACTTATGTTGGAATATTCTTCGATATTACAGAAATGACCCAACTGATCTAGCCGATGACCATTCATTCGGCGCAATAGCTTTATAAAACTTTGTTGAATTGTTTATTATTAGCATTTTTTCCTTCGTTAAAAACAAAAAGGGTGGTTCGAAAGAACAGTCATTTCAGCTGGGTACGTATACCCATAAATCCGTTATATAATTCATCATCATCATCAACAGCCTTTAATAGTCCACTGCTGGACATAAGCGGCTCCTTAGAAATGAGGTTTTGGCCTACTATAAGATGTTGGCCAGACGGGATTGGGGAGATTTATTTAATTATAGCTTAATAAACAAGTTATATACAGACTTAATGTCATGGGGCGCACTCTCTCAGTTGACCTTTGTGTGATGAAGAGATATCCTTCATATCTCTTTGTTTTATGTTAGAGGGGGCAGACGAGCTGACGGGTCCACTGATGGAAAGTGACCAACGCCGCCCATGAACGTCTGCAACTCAGGAGTCACAAACGCGAAACCACAGACGATAACCCGTTCCACAGATTGGTTGTGCGGGGCAAAAAGTGTATCGAAAAGCGCACAGTAGTCGACCGCCAACTATCCAGGTGATGAGGATGAAAATTATGCCGTGTGGAACGATGACGGAAAGTTGCGGCTGGTATTAGTCCGGTGGTTAATAAAATATAAACCTTCATTAAGACCTACTGCTTAGCGTTCCATGGATTCACCGCGCGGGTGCTGGGTCCATCGCGTGATGGATGGGGCGACGCATGCGACTTCGACAGCGCCTGGGATTTGTGACCCAGGAATAGGTTTAGGGTACCACGTATTTGAGAAGAGTATGGAGAGTTAAATTGAAACTGGACATAATTCTTTCTTTGGACATATCATTTATCGCTTTATGTTAAGTCTAAGAATATAAAAAAAAAAACGATCAAGCCTTAAAGTAGAAGAATATAATGTGTAATTGACATCTCGCCTACCATCTGACAGCCAAATATGGCACCGCGCGCACTTTCCCAGCTGTTACTCACTTCCGTGCCATTTTACAAAATTCAACTCAAAAACGAAAAAAAAGACCCTAGTAAAGTTGATTACTTGTTAAAATACAGTTAATAATAATAATACAGCCCATACCATGAAATCTGAATGTTGATACGTGAAGAGAATTTCTTGTATCCAAACTTTAATTTATTTTAAACAATGTTTTACAAAACCGTATTAATTACTTGTAACTGGCTAAAACCTTACAGTTACTGGCGTGACCTGTCACTGCACAAAAGACTATACAAAGACTGTTTAAGTTATACTGGACAAGATATATAAATTTCAAAAATGGGTATATTCGAAATTCAACCATGAGATGATCTCTAGTAACCGTTAAAATGCAATAAATAATTTACTTTACATCATCAATTGCAATAAACTGTACTCTTGGTTCCTAACTTATCCACACTTAGGTGTAATTTCTTTTTTTTTATCTAAAGGGAACAAGGAGGAAGCATACTCTCCCAAATAAGTAAAGATATTCCCAACCGGTAGGTAAATATAGGAGTTCTGAGGTAACAAACAAAAAAAACTACAAAATGCTTAAATTTTTTGAACAGACGATTTCTTCCAGAATTGAATTTCGACTGTTATACGGCCATTTTGTGATATTACATGCAGTTCTTAATAAGGCGTGGCCACGACACCATCGGTTTGTGTACACATTAATACAAAAGTACAAATAACAATACATAATGTGGAGTGAAGTGAAGAAGTTTGGACTGCAATACTGCGATCTGCCGACGATGTTGTGGAATGTAGCTTTCATGTTGAGAGCTCTAACACTTAACATTGACAGTCGAAATAAGACTCGTAAGTATAAGAATTTTAAGTTCATTTTACATTCACACACACTAGATAATAAAAACTTTAGTAGTCCACTCATCCACTGGCTGGACATGTAAACATGTATGTGTGTCTTTTGATTTTAAAGCCTTTAAGACAGAAATAATAACAGTCTAGTTCTCATTTTTTAGTTGAGAAAGAAACAACTTTAATTATAAGAGTCAAATCTTTAGTTTATTTTAAGCAGCTTGTTTTTATTATTGAAATAAAACCAGCCAAACCATTTAGGCGGCAAAAATCCCTCATTTAAACACTTGCCTTCGAATCTTCTTTTCAGCGATCCCTATCTTCGTATATTTGCTGTGCCTGCTGATAGCTCTGGGGTACTTCTTCGTATACCTGGTCTCTATGGGCTGGTTCGTCTTCGTAAGGTGTCCTGAGACGGGCGACTTGCTTTCGGCCATGATAGTCTTTTCACTAGGAGTTTCGAGCGAGATTGGTACTGTCAAACTTGTGTACATGTTTCTACATATGTAAGTATAATTATAAAAATAGCTTTACACATCTACAGGACAGTACTATGGTAACTAGACTGCTGATAAACATACTTATATATTTGTAAATACATACATATTATAGATAAATTACACTCAGACACAGAACAAATGATCGTGCTCATCACACAATACTTTCGTTTCCCTTCTCCGCTACACCACCCGCCACCCGCTGACATCTTGAGTACCTCGTCCCCGCCACCGTCTGTCACCCCGCAGGACGGTCGCGCACGACGTTGATGGATTATAGTCTGAATATAATAATAACAATATCATAAAACATTTTAGTCCTGCTATTCATTCATTTATTCAAATACTAGTTTTTACCAGTAGCTTTGATGTCGGTAATATTGATTTTTAATATACTACGGTTCTTCGGTTATGCGGTTCATTTTTCTGTTTGTTACCTCAGAACTCTGTAGCCTCGGAGCCGTGCCTCAGAGAGCACTTTAAGCCGTCGTTCCCGATTGCCATTCGAACAACTGTGGCAATCGTGACGGGTATTTGGAGCCCTAAACAGTCCGACAATAATCTTTCTACAGAACTTCGATATTTCTTTTGATTTTTCTTTAACTTAAAATTTATTTTATAAACATGACATTACAATCTTTAACCCCCAAAACCGGGTTGACGGTTTGACTAGAGGCTCCGGTCTTCTAGTGCTATCGCCTAGTACTTGGGTTGTGGAGGTCTAAGGCGGTCGCCTAGTTTAGTAGACTTAAAGCCGACCCCAACCTATTTTGATAAAAATTCTCTGAGGACTTCAGAACTCTGTAATTTACGTAATGATTTGAAAATACTTCTTTATTTGTTACAATACTTCTTGAATTTCAGACTATAATTGTTTTTAGAATCATTCGGCCATTTTGGCATGATTGACACATAATTTCACGTTTTTCATTTTAATGGGAATATTCTTAACCATTTGATAAAATGAAAATTATAGAAGATCACAATGGTGCGATGGTAGTGAATTCGATTCCCGCTCAGTGCAATTATTTTTATGCATAAATAGCTTTATTATTATTGGTCAACGTATTTCTACGTAAAATAGGTATTTAACGGTATGTCTTATCCATGTTCTAGAACCCATAATACAAAACTCTGCTTAGTTGAGCCCTAGGTAGTGATTTATAATATTTCTAAATAATAATAATAATAATATTCTACCACATACACACAACGCCATCTAGTTCCAAACTAAGCAGAGCTTGTACTATGGGTACTAGAAAACTGATATAAATACATATATACTTTTTTTTGTAAATACATACATATTATACATAGAAACACCCAGACCAAATCAAACATCAAATGTTCATGCACACAAATGTTTGACTTGAGCGGGAATCGAACCCGCGACCTTTGGAATAGCAGTCCGTTACACAAACCACTACGCCATCCGGTCGTCAGATATTTCTAAATATATATATTAAATTCTTTATCATCTTAAAACGTTTGGGATTGAATTCTTGTTTTCGTTCTAGTGGCAAAATAAAAAAAATCGTAGCAGAGACCTTGGCTTGCGACGCCTCCGTGGTCCCAAACAGCAGGTTCTCCAACAATCTCTTGACGACATTGCGTGCGGTGAAGAAACGAGCTATGATCTTCTGGGTGGTTATTATCTCCAATGGAATAGTGTACGTAATGAAACCTATACTGCTTCCTGGCAGACACTTGATGGAGGATAAGTTTATACTCTTTGGTAAGTCATTATAACTATTTTTATTGTTCGTAGCTCTTTAGTAGGTTTTTTAAGCATAGACAAAATAATAACTAGTTTTATTTAAAAATAGATGGTGTTGCTTTCCTTAAAATATTTACTTTTGATGTTATACTAGTTAACAGTCTATAATAGTCCACTGCTGGACAAAGGCCTCTCCCTAAAAAGGAAGGAAGGTTTTGACCTACTATACCACGCTGGGCAGACGGGTTGGTATAGGGTTTATTTCAAGTTTTACTTCTCTTTGCAGTGCTGTTGTCCTGAGTAGTTTGCACCCTTAGTCGGCTGTTACGACACCTACGGGTTGAATACGGGTGGTGACATTCCGTATTCTTAATCCGTCACCACACAGTAAGAATAAATATATAGTAACTATAGTATAGTTTAAAACTTAATTTCGTAAATAAATTTGAATGATCTGATTGTAGGCAAGTAGCATAATAATTAACTAACACAAACTAATAATAATAATTATGGTAATTTAGTTTATAAGGTATTTATTTATTATTCATCTATAATATTCAAATATTATTTATCTATATACATATACATGTATGTATTTAGAAATATATAAGTATGTTTATCAGCAGTCTGGTTACCATAGTGTAGGCTCTGTCTAGTTTGGCATCAGACGGCCGTTTGTGAGATGTGTGAGATATATTATTATGTTAAATTGGCCTTTACATCTTTGTAAGACGACTTAAGTAATTAGCGTCTTTGTGGCAACCATAATATACATGTATTTAGTAACTGCTGATAAACGTATTCGTGTATCTGCAGTCTGGACATAATTATAGTGTACTTGTTTAGTTCGTATGAACTACTCGTATTTTATGTTAAGAAGGTATACAGACTAATAATACACTTTGCATAAACAAAAATATTAATAAAAAGGTTGCTTAAAACACGCCTCCACATATGGTAAGTAAGCGAATAAAAAATAAATAGGTTCAAACCAAAAACTTAAAAGAAGGTAATAATACTAATACTTCAAAATATATAAAGACACTTAAACTAATAACATTATTTTTATTTCTTTAATATTAAAGTTTTACTGAAAAAAATATATGCAAGTGTTTATTTCATACATGCTATGTGTTTTTCATAAAATCCTGTACAGCATAAAACGGTTATTCGGAAAACCATAGATATAATTTGGCTTTAAATGTGTAGGTATTCTGTGTGATTTGAAATTTGAAAAAAATAAATGCATTTTTTGTGGTATTATATACTCGTGTATGAGGTAATCTTTACAACTAAGTAGTAAGGATTGCCTATCAAACGTTATAACTCAATTTTGTTCTAGTTTAAATATTAAAAATAAGTACTAAAAAGATAACAAATTAATACATTTATATTTAAACAAATTATCATATTTTATATGTATATAAGTTTTAACTTTAGTATCATGTAATTGGCAATTATACACAACAAAATCAAACACAAAATCAGATTAAAAACAGCACCGATGGTGAGTGAGAGCCGCGCGGTCGTTCGGTACGGAAATTACGTTGCCGCTTTGACGGAACGCAGCGAGCTGGCAACGTTGCATTCCGCAATCAACTTGTCTCACACACCGCGTACAGTTACCGACGAGACACCTACCGCTTTCATAACCGCGTCGCACTGCCGCGATTTCTAGAATGTTCCTAACAGAAAATTTTATTCAAGAAGTTGAGAAAAAAGAGTGTATTTGGAATAGAAATGACCCAGATTATAATAATTCACAAGCAAGGCGAGCGGCGTGGGAGGAAATTGGACAAATTATTTATCACAATTGGAATAGTTTGAAATATTTTGAAAAAGATGTAAAAGGTATGCCGTTTGAACATTATTTTTTAATACTATGCTCACTGCTACTAAAATCACAATGAACTGTGATTTATCATTCGATATTTGCGTACGTAGGTTAGGGTTGCTAGGTAGGTGGGCTAGACACTATTTAACAGTAAATATAGTTTTCTTTTTAATTATTATGTAGGGAATGGTATCTATATATAATAAAATAATTACCAGATTTACTGCATTGTCTGAAAACAGCTTATTGACAACAACGCGTAAGTAGTGACCCTAACCTACGTACGTAAAAATCGAATGATAAATCACCGGTCATTCACAGTTCACTGTGATTTTGTCCCATCTCTAGAAGTAAGCACGTTATTCAAATAGTGCTGAAGAAGAACTGCGGTTTTCCGTTGGATGGTTCCGTACGTTTTTTTACTTTGTTGGTCGGAAGACTACATATTGAAGCGGCAACATCATTAGGTATACGAATTCTCGTTCGTTTGTTTCAAATTAGTAGATATATCTTTCTGTTTATTTGTTTTACACTAAAGTGGTCGCGCTATAAAACCATACCATCCTTTCTCGAGGTCATTTAGGACATCTTCTACCCTTAGTGCCTTGTGGATAAAGAGTTTTTGGTGACTAATATAACCGGTATATACATGTATTAATTAGTTTTTATGTTTATTCTCTTTGACTTTGATTTCTCTTATAGCTTTGATTCGTATGAATGATATTGACAGACCCAATAAATCACAAGCATAAACCTTGGTGGTTTTTTCGTTGCTATTATTATATAAGTGAAAGTAATTATTTTTTTGTGGAAACCATAAAAAACATATACACATATTATTTTATATAATTAAATATACTTACAAATTACATTCAGTTTGAATCTTCAAGTCAAAGTTCCTTAATTTTATCTTGCACACTATTTTGAGTGACTACTAACACTAGTTTGAACAGAAGGCCAATTCTCTTAATAAAAGTTCGGTCTGAATTCAGTTCCGTGCTACTCTATATTTCTGTCATAAAAGGTATTTTTAATAGTAAAGTATTAAACATCCAACTTCGACTGTAATGTTTTTTTTGTTTTGTTTTTTGTTTTTTTTTAAAAGACATCTCCCGCATTAGGAATATATCCTGTGTCGCGGGGGACTTTACAAACATACATGAAACGGACACAAAGAACACCCAGACTCAGAACAACAATTTGTGGATCACACAAAGTGTCGTCCCATGTGGGGTTTGAACCCACAACACTCGGCGTAGTAGGAAGCGGCGTGGCGACCGCTTAAACCACTACGCCATCCGTGCAGTCAATGTGATTATTATTATTTTTTTATTTATTTATTTAATTAGAGCATGGAAGACTTACAGCTACAATTGTTCAAAACGTTACAAATTACAATTATATCGTATTGTAACAGAAAATTAAAACGGTAATTTGCTGGTCTTAATAATACTTCACTATTTTACTACGAAAATACCTTTTATGACAGTTGTGAGATCGAATGTTGATCGGAACTGATTTGTGACCAAACTTTTATTACGAGAGTTGGCCTTCAGATATCATAATCACATCAACAGCCTTTAATAGTCCACTGCTGGACATAGGCCTCTCCTTAGAAACGAGGGTTTGTCTTCGAGCAGCTATACGAGTATCAAAATTTTGAACACAGTTGTGTTTTTACAAAAGAATAAAAATATCACAATTTATGGTCTATTTTTTACTGGAGTTTGAATTTGAAAGGACTGTTGTTCTAGTGGTAAGCGATCCTGACTGCCAAGCCAGAGGTCGTGAGTTCGATTCCCACCCAGGTCAAATAATTGTATGATGAGCACGGTCATCGGTTTTTTTTTAAATGTATTTTTTTTATTCGAGTTTACTAGCTTTTGAACGCGGCTTGCGGTGAAGCTGATGTAACGCGCTGATAATGTAGTTTTCCATTGGTAAAAGATTTTTTAAAATCAGTTTAGTGGTTTAGGCGTAAAAACGTAACAAACAAACAAACTTACTTTCACGTTTATAAGAAGAGTATGGATGTATGTATTTTGAGATATATGTATGAGTGTTTATCAACAGGCTGATTATCTTAGTACAGGCACTGCCTAGTTTTTGATCAGACGGCCGTGTGTGAGATATCTCTTGTTATTATTATTATTTTCGTGATATTACATTGCCTTAGTAACTTTGTAATCCTGTATGTATAATAGGGTTACAGAGTTACCAATGCAGTTTGTTATTTAAACTACCTATTTAGAAATAAATAGATTAGTGGATAGTTTAATTTATTAACTAGCAACATTTCATGGTGAACGTGTTACTTTTAACGTGTTAAGGTACCCCTATACCAAACGACAGACAGGCGAAGTCCTGCTTTGCATAATTGTATAAAATACTTAGAATAACTTTATGTTTCAGTTTTAGAGATGTCAAAGAAATGGAGAAACATCAGAGACTATTACAAAAAAGAAAAGAAAAGACAAGAGAAAGAAGAAACTAACCCGAAGGGACCCAAGATTACAAAGAAGAGACTGTATAGTTATTTCCAATATTTGGGCTTCTTGGATCAACAGAATTATATTCGATCACATACGACAAATGTTTCTGATGATGAGTCTTTCACTTCGGGTAACGATGGACCTGAGAATCAAGAGCCTCAAGAAGAAGAAGGAGAAGAGGAAGAGGAAGCCATAGAAGTAAAAATAGAAAGTGGAAGTCAGAAGAGATCTCTACCGAAAGCAGTTACTCCAATGGCAAAGCGTTCGGTTACAGCTTTAAGACGAACGCAGAATAATGAGTCTCATTCAGCAGCCATTAGGAACTTCCTTTTATCTCTCATACCTGATGTTGAGACGTTAAATGAACAGCAATACATGAATTTTCGTTTAGAAGTCCTGAATTTATTGAATTCCATCAAATTCGAGAATGCTGGATGTAATAACGAGAGTTGGCTTATTTCTACACTAGCTCATGACGAAAACTGAATGGATTATATTCTTAAAACCACACTTAATAACATTTTGGATAAAAATACTTTTTTAATCCTAATCTACAAAAAAGAGAAAATACAGGAAACCCTAGTTGGATAACATAGTTCGATCAAAAGTGAAAAAGTTATGATTAAAAATAAAACATTAGATTCCTACTAATGACTTGTTTTATTTTTTATTAAAAATCCAAACATTAATATTAAATGTTACAAATTTCTGCAAAAAGAAGGAAAACTTGACACAAACCCCATACCAACAAGTCTGGCCACCGTGGTATAGTAGGCTAAAACCTCCTTTCTAAGGAGAGGCTTATGTCCAGCAGTGGCCTATTAAAGGCTGTTGATGTGATGATGATGTTACAAATTTCTATAGAACGTAGGATTTTTACGTTTTATAAGGAACCAAATCAGTGTATGATTTAGTTTGACAGCCAAATACCGTATTCAGTGAAAATTAAGAAGATGAAAGGCATCAAGATAAAAATATCTACGTCATTTAGTTTCCATGGCATTATGATTCTTATTCACATTGCCATAAAGTAGATTTATGAACGTCTCTATTATATCGATCTCCTCTACAGAAATATTCCACAATAAAGACAGGACGACCGGATGACGTAGTGATTTGTGTAACGTACTGCTATTCCAAAGGATGCGCGTTCGATTCCCGCTCAAGTCAAACATTTGTGTGCATGAACATTTATTGTTTGATTTGGTCTGGGTGTTTCTATGTAGAATATGTATGTATTTAAAAAAAAAAGAATTATTGTATTTATATCAGTTGTCTAGTACACATAGTACAGGCTCTGCTTAGTTTGGGACTAGATGACGTTGTGTGAATGTGGTAGAATATTATATTATTATTATAGTAGTGTAGTGACGAATTAAGAATACACAATGTCACTACCCCAATTCATCCCGTGGGTGTCGTAAGAGCCGACTAAGTCCGCAAAACAACGCAGGACTTGACACAAACTCTATACCAACCCGTCTGGCCAGCGTGGTATAGTATGCCAAAACCTCCTTTCTAAGGAGAGGCTTATGTCCAGCAGTGGACTATTAAAGGCTGTTGATGATGATTATATTCTAATCTTCTAGATCTTCAAGAATAAAGAACAATGTTCTTGAAGGTTTACTTTAAGAACATTATCACACATATCTTACGACATTTTCCTTGCAAAGTTGATAATTAATAAAAACAATCATATTTTAGTTATGAGAAATGTTGAGATAAAATGTAAAGGCATTTTACATTCATAACAATCAATAAATTACATTGGATAACTGTTTAAACTAAACTTAACGTTCATTTTCAAAATTATTCGCGAGCATTCGCTTACAACGATAAAAGTATCAAGCCACAAACAAACTTAAAATTAATTTAGATATCGCAACCAACATGTTTAATAAACCATGCAGTTAATAGCCCGTTTATTTAATTGACGTATTTGGCAATTTATTTAAACTGTTAGGCAAATGATTTAGATTAAGAACGTTTATATACCCCAGCTTTGAAATTGATATTTGTGCATTGACAAAATAAAGACCTCAATCAACAATATTACAGTAAACGCGCTATTCAGGCCGTTAGCTGAATCTGAGTCTGTTAATTAATGACGAACGAATGGCGCAGACTGCGATTCTAAAGGTCGCGGGTTCGATTTCCGCTAAAGTCATACATTTGTGTGCATGAACTTTTAATGTTTGATTTGGTCTGGGTGTTTCTATGTATAATAACTATTTACAAAAAAAGTGTGTATGTATTTATATCAGTTGCCTAATACCCATAGCACAAGATCTGCTTAGTTTGGGACTAGATGACGTTGTGTGAATGTGGTAGAATATTATTATTTTTATTGATCGCCTTATAAAGCTAGTTGACTGCGACTTATATATATGATAGGTAAGACAACAACAGCTGAAAACCTTCAGACTAAAATAAATAATTTCATTTTGATAAGACTTATTTATTCGCAGGTCTTGAACCAATGTATGAAACTCCCAACTACCAAATAGCATTCGTTCTGATGACATCAGGAGTTATATTCACCTGTTACCTCCCAGCGAATATCACGGCATTTCTCATAGTCATCACGGGTTACATTGAAGCTCAAATGCTAGCCCTCTCTGAAGAACTTCTTCATCTATGGGAAGACGCTGAGAAAGATTATAATAAAATGAAACGAACGAACAATGTTTTAGATGGATCAGAAAACAATCAAGTTAATAAAACCAAATTGATTAATGAATACATCAGTATACGTCTAAAAGAAATTACAGAAAATCACGCACGTAATATTAATCTCTTGCTTCAAGTTGAAAGCGTATTCAGTGGAGCTATTGCTTTGGAATTCTTCCTACTAGTAGTTGGCCTAATAGCAGAACTGTTAGGAGGCTTAGAGAATACTTATATTGAGATACCATTTGCTATGATGCAAGTTGGAATGGACTGCTTCACAGGGCAGAGAGTAATGGACGCCAGTACAAAGTTTGAAAGAGCCGTTTACGACTGCAAATGGGAGAGTTATGATAAAGCCAATATGAAAATAGTGCAGATAATGTTACAAAGTTCACAGAAGACGATGAAGTTGTCTGCTGGTGGTATTACCATGTTGAGTTTCAGTTGTTTAATGCAAGTCAATAGATCTGTATACTCAGCGTATACAACATTAAGAACAACAATGAAATAGATAATATAGAAATTCGTTTAGAAAAAGATATTCCCCATTACAACTATAAACGTGAAAGTTTGTGAGGATGAATGTATGAATAAATGTCTTTTTTATTTATTTGCGCAATCATGTCAGAATGGCAAATGGATCTGGATGAAAATTGGCAGAGAGATAGATGAAGACCTATTGCCATCAATCGATCGAAGTGGCGTGCAATGAAAGAAGCCTGTGTCCAGCAGTGGACTCCGATAGGCTAATGATGACGATGATGGGCACAAAGAGAGAAAAATACACGTATTCTAATTTTATCAAGGTACAATTGATTGATAAAATCGACATTAACGCAATCGAAGTCGGGGATACAAGATGAATAGAATAGACTATGACTATATAGAGTAGACTATAGAGAATGCACTATAAAGGAAACTACACCTTCTACTTAGCGAATAAGTATAAATAAAACTTAGAGAATAAGAATAATAAATAAATTAACTCTACCTAATAATACAGTATTCCTACTTTAACGACCTATTCAAAATCAATCACACTGAGTATAGTAATAAAAGTTTTGAAGAAAATTGTTTCGTAAAGAAGCAATAAGTTGTTGAAAACTATTCAGTAAAAGTACTTATTATGTCAAAAGTAATCTTAAATATATTATGATTGTGTAGATTTTATATTATTTATTCATGCACAACAATACCAAGCTATCATTGATGGTCTTGAAAGCAAAGCGTATGGATAAGAAATATGTGGGAGTCTATACGAAAATTTGGTCCGGAATATTACGACCTGCCTACCATGTTGTCAAATGTATCTGATATGCTAAGAGTATTGACACTAAATATTGATGGGAGGAATAAAAAACGTAAGTTTTACCAAAACGAGTAATTGACGGGCCTGTTGCTCTGTGGTTAGTGATCTTGGCTGCTAAATCAGAAGTCAATTCCCACCCAGCACAAATAATTTTAAAATGAGCACGATCGTTTGTTTTGTGTCTGAGTTTAATTTATTAAGTATTTTTATCAGCTGTCTGGTAACTAAAACTCAGGCTTTGCTTAGTTTGGTCAGACTGTCGTGTGTGAGATGTGTGAAAAAAATACCTTCTGTAAAATACTAACAGTTGTGTGCCTGCAGTTTCGATCAGTTTATAGATCATTGCTTCGCCTTTAAAGTAACTTAACGAAAGCAAGAAATCGGATTAGGTACTTGGTTTGATAACATTAACAGGATATAAAACTTTATTCTACTATTCTCAAATAATCAGATCAGATCATATTAATGACTATTTAAGATAAAATATACTTTTAACACAGGAGTCCTTTGGTATATTCCGTTAATTTGGATTTTATAATTTATTAGCGCAGAAAACATATTTTTTGTTTAATTTTACAAACAAAATAATAATAAAAAACACTGCAATTTCACATTAATTTTTTTTTTTCGGATATTTTCGGTTCAATAAATGATGTTCATTACAGAATGATGTTGAATTATAACAAATGTTTCAGGCATACCTATAGGATACATCATTTTAACGACGGTAGCCTCGATTCTCTACATCTATGCATACGTTTTTTCCGCATTCTGGTTCTCGTTTTGGCATGCAGCAGAAATTGGTGAAGTGTCCGGGGCCTTTGCAGAATTCTCTCTAAGCATCACCAGCCATGTTGTGATAGTCAGGCTGTTTTATATGTTGTTACACAAGTGAGTTCTATATATTCCTTTAAATCTAGGTTTGGTGGTTGGAGAGCTAGAAGTTTCCGGCAATTCGAGTAGCAGGAATGCGCTCTTGCTTTACATGTTTCTTGTCGCATAGAAAGAGCGCGGAAATCTGCGGCCGATATAAGTTCCAATAATTCTTCGGATCAACCCCCCTTAATACGAGCCATAAACGATTCAGAGTGAAGGTATCAAGCCGATCTGAAATATCCTGGCAATGGACGATTCGAGTCGCTTCACGTTCTATGCGGGTCAGATAGAGAAGGTGTTACTTAGGTACCCCAGCCCAAAGAGAACAGTATTTTATTTTATGGCAAAATATTTGTGCAGAATAATCTTCTGGAAATATTTTAAGAAAGTAATAAAATGATACAATCAGTTTATAATTATTGCTTATTGTCCAAACAATTGTGTTTTAATTTCGTCCTCTTTATCATAATCTCTTTTAAAATGTTCTTTACCCTAGTAATTTGAATGCTCAATTCCAGAGAAAAGCTTGAAGTCCTGATCAACAAATACCTAGACCAGGACGCTCGAATACCGAAAGGCAGCAGGTTCTTCAATAATATGATGAAGACGCTCAAGCAAGTAAAGAGGCGCGGAATCATCTTCTGGACGATACTATTAGTGGACCCTGCCGTTTACATAATCAAACCACTGTTAACTCCTGGACGGCATCTAACCTTGGATACTTTCGTTATTTATGGTTTGTAGGAAATTAATTATACTTATATTACTACCTGACTGACTTTTAAGCAAGAAATGTATCACATTATAATTTTACTGTTAAGTGTCGTCAACCTAAATAAATTGAGGAAGGAATCCCAAAAAGGTCCCCCTAAATAAATTTGGGCAGAAAGTGAGAAGATGACAATAAAGATGGTGTTATGTAGGGTCACCAATGATTTTTCCAATGGGTGAGATTGTACAAAGTTATTACCGAAAGAAAAGTTAGGTGTAGGCATATATATGACTGAGGTATATTTGGGAATGGACAAGAGTTGCAAGTGCTGCAGAACTCTTCTGCCCTACCAGAAACAGGACGGGATATGCAACTGGCTGCTAACCTTCACTGTGTCGTCGAAGAAAAGCCTGTAGAATTTAATTGTTATAAAATAAAATAAATTCATTTATTCGTCAGACTAGGCTGTATTATCTGGCGAATTAATAAATTTTATTTAGTTTTGTATGCCTTTTTTTTAAACCTCTATGCTCGAATTATTCGCTAGTAATCTATCACTCCGTTGTCCGTGTGAGTTAGTACTGAGTGTCACCACCCTGATGAATCTATTACTATCTATCAGATTTTTCTCTTTTAGGTCTGGAGCCTATGCTAGAATCTCCGAACTATGAGATAGCCACCGTGGTTATGGCGACAGGTGTAACGTTAATATGCTACTCGGTGGCAAATGTTACATGTTTTTGGATCGTCACCATCGGTTATATTGAAGCCCAAATGCTGGCCTTAAGTGAAGAAATCAAACATATTTATGGTGATGCGGTATACCATTGCAAGAAAACAATTGATACTAATAACAATTATACTCTTGTGGTCAATAAAAATGCTAGCAAAGATACAGTAGCAGCAATAATTAATCAATATATTAAAGAACATCTAAAAGACATAATAGTTAAACATTCCACGAACATCAGCTATGTAAAAGAAATAGACGAAATAATGAGTATTCCGAATGCTGTTGGGTTTTTGTACTTGATTCTTGGATTGACGGCAGAACTCTTGGGTGGGCTAGAAAAGACTTGGTTGCAGCTACCGTTTACTATGCTGCAGTTAAGCGTAGACTGTTACCTGGGGCAGAAAGTGAAGGATGCCAATGACAAGTTTGAACAGGCGGTGTATGATTGCAAGTGGGAAAAGTTCAATAAATCGAATAGGAAAATTGTGTTGATGATGCTGCAAAATTCTCAGAAGACTATGACATTATCAGCAGGGGGCATGGCGATTCTTAACCTACGTTGTTTGATGTCTATTATTAAAACGACGTATTCTGCGTACACTACTCTAAGGACAATGGTTTAAATCATGGTTACCTGTATATATATAAGATAGAAATAACGCACATTACGTTTAAAAAAGATTTCAAAAGTTTATAGGACAAGTTAAATAGTTCACTTTCATTATTGTATATTTTTATTTAGTTAATAAAAATATAAGCAACACATTTGGTGATTTCTGCATCCCTTTCTGCACAAAATATAAAAAAAATAGTTTTATTTTGTAACCGACTTCAAAAACACATACATCCTTTTAAAAATATGTTGAAAGTAAAGTGTAACCGTGTTCAAACAATGCTTACAAAGAGCACTAAAAATTACAAAATAATTACAAATCTAGGTAAAAAACTATAAGTACCCTCAATATAAGAAATAACAATAAAATATCAATAGTGCCTTCTAGTCTGTTTGAAGTTGGTGCCAAAAATTCTTTTTGTATTCGTAAAGGTATACTCTCGAGGTGGTCTCATTACCACCAAATCAAAATCTGACGACGGAATCCCAGAGAAATCGATGGAAACCATCAAATTTTACAGACCCGACAACGCGTTTTAGCTTTTTTTTTGCTTTTTTTTCATGTTGATGAGCTGATGATGGAAGAGTCCTTGACCTTTAGGAGTTAGAGGATAACTCTTTTAATAATATAATCATGTATTGATCTTTTTTTGTTTTTTCAAGATATTTGTTAGGTGTTTGTGTTGTACAAAAGATATGTGCACAAGAAAGTAATAAATGAGAATACAAAACATTTAGACAAAAACATGTTTTTTACTCAATTATTTTCATGTTTGTTACCTCAAAACTCTTTCATTTGTAAACCGGATAAATCTTTTTTTATTTGGAAGGTCATATTTCCTCTTTGGATTCATTCAAATGTGAAACTTTACTTATTGTGCATCGGGCTTAGCACCGACTTCAAACAGACTAGAAGGTATCTATTGCTATTATAATGTTACCTGTTATATTGAGGGTCGCACTTATTTTGGTTTTATCAATTAGATTTGTAATAATAAGAGTCTTTGTGATTAATGTTTGAAGTCGGTTCAACTTTCTTTTTAAAAGGATTTATATTACTACTTCCATTACTAACCACATTACCTTTTTTATAGTATAGGGAGTGAATAAGTATGGTAAGTAACTACGGTCACCCGTGAGCATCTACAACTCAAATGGATTTACTCCTTTCAAAGTCAGGGAAGAGGATAGTCCACCTCACTCACTCGGTGAAAAGGAGCGAAAGAATTGTGTTATTAATTTGATGATGTGATATCACATGTCTTAAATTTGATCTAATGAACCTGGAGCTGAATAATGCGCTTCACAGAGGCAACGAGTAAACCCCCGATTTTATTTTAATGACAGATGACGTCACATCAGCCTTGATCAAGTGTCGTACTGTGTAGCAACTGGAATTTTATTTATGGGTTGGTGTTTATTACTCAATCACGCCAGCACGGCTTAACGTATCTGAATGAAAATTGGCTCAGAGATGTATTATAGTCTGAAAAAGGACATTGGCTACTTTTATTCCGGGAAAGCAGACTGACAAAATGAACATTAACGTAAACATAGTTGCGTGCAAAAGATTGTACATAATATGTAAAAACCTCAAGTAAAATTGGGATAAGCGTAGGCAGATGATGATGATGACATATGACACACAGCCATCTGACCCCAAATTAAGCAGAGTCTGTGCTATGATAACCAGATTGGTGTTATCCCTACTCATTTATTTCTAAATACATACATCATCTGTAAAGAAAGACATGACTTTACAGTAATCATATTAAAGATAAACTACACCCTGAACAGAATGATGCACCTCACACAATTTTTTGTTTTGTTTTTTAATAGACAACTCCAACATCAGGAATTTATCCTGGTTCGCGGAGGACTTTTCAATACATACATGAAACGGACACAAAGAACACCCATTCCAAGAACAACACTTTGTGGATCACGCAAAGTTTCGTCTCATGTGGGGTTTGAACCCACAACACTCGGCCTACCGAGTGTTGTGGGTGCTTCCTAAAGCAGCGTGGTGACCGCTTAAACTACAACACCATCCGTGCAGTCAAAGTCAAATTATTTGTCCTGGAATCACACCCATGACGTCTAACTTAGCAGTCAGGGTCACTATCCACTAGGCTTAGAGACCTATTGGATATAAAACTCTAGAGACAGACTGACAGACAGAGATAAACTCGTTTGCAATAACTTTTTGAAACCGAAACCACAGTCTTCTTGACAATTATAAAATCTCGTGTCTCGCTATATAAACGTTTGTATAATTTTAACCAAATAGCAATCGTCTAACTAACTGTTTAATAATGTAGATGCTACGAACACAATTTCAGCGTTGAACACAATGATCAAACATTTGCGAGAATGTGGACGATCCAACCCTCAGGACATGTGTGGCTCGTCTGAGTAACGCCTACGTAATGAAAACCCTTGTGCCGTTTTGAAATATTAAACTTGAAGACAATGAAAGGAGTGATGAGGGCCTAAGGCGGCCATTACACGATAGGTTTTGCTGTCATGTTAATCTGCGGATTTGGATGACGGATGGTAATAAAGAAAAAACTAGATACCGCACTCAGGAGGCAAGAAATACTCTAATTTTTGAATAAAATAAGAAGTGCTAAAGTTTATTCAAAATTGTTGTATTTATAAAAGTAATTATAAGGATAAAAGTTCAATTTTTTTTTTAATTTAAAAAATTATCTATACTTTCAAATAAATATCTATTAAGATTAGTAAATTTATATGTCACACAAATAATTCCTTTTAAAAACACTACTCCCGCATTAGCACGAGCATCCTGTGTCGCGGGGAGTTTACAAACACACATGAAACGGACAAGAAGAACACCCAGACTCAGAACAACAATTTGTGGATCATACAAAGTGGTATCCCATGTGGGGATCGAACTCACAACACTCAGCGCAGTAGGACGCGGCGTGGCGACCGCTTAAACCACTTAAACCATCCGTAAAGTCGAGATTACCTAAAGTGAGTTACTCCTCGTAATCATAGTTTCATACGGATTATTTCTGATATATCTCATACAAATATAAACCTCTCGACACTGAAAGACTCTACATGGGATAAATATAAGCTGGGAATTAGGTTTTGCGGCGAGATTGAACTTGATGCGTAACGATTGGCTGAAACCTCTGCTCCAAAATAAATAACAATAAATCATTTAAAATAACTTCACACATCTCGCACACGGACGACTAATCCATAACAAGATAGAGCTTGTAATATGGTAACCGGACTACTGATAAACATACATTTATATTTCTAAGTACATACATATTATAGATAAATTACAACCGAGTTAGAGAGGACTCGGGAGGATGACCTCCACTCGGACCCAATTCGCTGCCGGCGGAGGCGCGCTTGCCAGCGCCTCATGCCGCCCTTTTTTTTTTTTCCGTGCGGAAATCCCCTCGGATACCACCTGTCGGTGGCATGTCGGACTCGAACCGATTAAAACCGCACGCCTTCGCCGGGTACTAATAGCCGGGGAACCAGGTATACCCTAGAAAGGAAGGCCCTGGTGCCCCGACATACCTCGGGTCATCTACAGACGAGTAGACGACCCCCGCCCCGTGTGGGAACCCCATGTTCCCTGTGCTCCCTGGAAGCGAGCGCGCTTCGCAACGCGCTCGCCGCCACCCCGGCCTGCTTCTGCTAGGGTGACAGATGGCCTCACCTGTCACCCCCAGGCCTGCGCTTATGGAGGACGGAGGTCGTTCTGCGACCTCCGGCGCCTGAGTCGCCTGCGCTGCCTGGCCCGTGCCCGGGCCTAGCGGGCCGGGAGAGTTCTAAACCTCTCCCGGTCCCGCTCCGCCGTCTCCTTCGCGAGCATAACTTGCTCGCAGAAGGAGACGGCAGAGTTCCACGCACTCTCGCTCCGCACGATAGCCGCAATCAGGCTATCGAGCGAGAGAACTCCCACTCCGATGGCCGCCACGAGGTCTCGCCTCTGCTCAACCCACGCCGGGCACTCTGCCAGCGTGTGGAGAGCCGTGTCCACGGTCTGGCCATCGCAGTGGTGGCACTCAGGCGTTGGCTCCTTGCGGATCAGACACAGGTGATCTCCGAAACATCCCTTCCCAGTGATCACCTGCGTCAATCGGTATGAGAGGGTCCCGTGACGCCTCTCGAGCCAATCCTCCATAACGGGTCTTACCGCCGCAATGACGGCGTGCCCAGCGCTCGGTTGAACGAGTCGTTCCCTCCACTCCCCTATGATGACCTGGCGGAGTTGGGATTTCCGGTCATCGATTTCTCGAATCTCGGGGCATCGACCCAACTCCTGCGCCTCCTTGCGCCACTGATACAGTGCCGCAAGGGCTCTCGCCTCCAGGTCCCACGGTGGAGTTCCGGCCAGGAGACTCGCTGCCTCAAAGGAGATCGTGCGGTACCCCCTTATGATCCTGATGGCCAGCATTCGCTGCGGTCGTCGCAGTATCGCGACGTTGCTGGCCTTCAGGGCCCCCGCCCATACCGGGCACCCGCCTCATGCCGCCCTGAGTGTGGCCGCGGGTGGACGGGACGGGTTTTCTTATCCACCCGCTATAGTGGCCAGCCACTCGGAGGCGACGTCCGCGTGTGCTGGCCATCGCCTAAATAGAGAATTTACCCGAAGGTGGTGCCCGCGTGGTTGCGGGTAGAGGATTCCGGATGTCTTTATATCAGCTGTTTCCGGACCCCTCCTATATCAGGCGCGGAGTGGCACACCGTGTGGTTTTATTCGATTCGATTCCTACGCCGCCGCCGCCCGCCGCAAACCCCGGTAAAGTAACGGCCCAAGGGGGGTTTCCACACGTTAAAAAAAAGGGTTTATGTCAAGTTTTTCTTCTCTTTGCCGTGCTGTTGTTCTGCGTAGTTAGCTACCTTAATCGGCTCTTACGACACCCACGGGATAAATAGGGCTCGTGACACTCCGTCACCACACGAATTAAGTTAAGAAAATGTTATTGTTTATTACTTCTCTGCTTACCATTTCGTGCTTTTACAGGTGTAAATTTGCACATAAAGCACAAATAATGTGGATATTCTATTCTGGAACAGTTATGTTAATTACTCTTTTATCCATTTTATTACGTAAACACAAATTAAGCTGACCGATGCTGTAAAACAGGATCGTAACATATTATCAGGTTAAGTGGTGAAGGTAGTGTTGACATATTTCACTAATAAATAGCGGGACGTTAACCACCAACTTTTGTAAATATTGAGGATATTTCTGATTATGCTAGTCAGGTAATGTTGCTTCACATGCAAGAGCCATGATTAAGCACATGTGGCGACTCCCACATTCAAAGAAACAGAAACATATTACAACGCTATCTAACGAAGACAAACCGAACTACGGAATAACTCCTGAATGATATTGCTAATCCTGTATCGCGATATGAAGAATTCTCTCGTCGATTAACATATATACAACTTCCCAACATCAACCGTTGCGCCGTGGCCCGCTGGGCATGATCACCTCACCTGGTCGGAGGATCCTCCCTTTGTGTTGGATGGACATGACATCCGTTCCTGAACACACATATGGGCCAGGCTGGACCGGAGTGATGCCACGGCCTCACAAAGATCCAGTGTTAAGCAGTTCTTTCGTTGCTTTTAATCGAGTGCAGTGCTGAGCTTACAGAAACCCATTCCCTGTCTCTCTCCCTGCTTCCGGGGGAAGGGACTGAAATGACGGCAACGCACTTGCGACTCCTGGGTAGCAGGAGTCCATAGGCGGCGGTAGTCACTTACCATCAGGAGACCCGCCAGCTCGTTCGTCCCCATATACCATAAAAAGAATTAAGACTATTCTCAGTAAACTAATAATGCTTCAAACATCTGTGAAGTGGAAAAAACTTTGACGAATATTCTTCCATTAGAGCATGACATCAATTTTGAGCTCCCTAAGCGGCGGGAGTGTTTCTTTGTCTCACCCATTGCCCAAGCTCGCCCCCAAACATACTGACAACTCCAAACAGTTATTTTCACCTCTTGAAGGTTACAACCGACCCGAATTCATTTCTGCTTCTAAATATTTTTTTAATAAAATATCCTACAATCACGTCAGAGATTGGTTAACGTATCTGACATTACGGATTCACTTAAAAAAACTACAAACAGTAATTTTCCTATTACAGGTTTTACACTTCCCTTGACATAAAAGTGTCAACTGTTATTTCTCGGAGTACGAAGGACTGTAATTTACAAACATATCTCATTATTTCGGTGCAATGTTGTATAAATAAATCAATTGGACAGAATGCAGAAAAGAATAGTTTTCCCACGACACCTCGTTTAACATACTTCGATCGAGTTAAGCAGTCTTTTAATTTTGGAGCCATAAAAAGTTGATACAATGAATGAAATATGGGCAAAACTGCGCAAATTTGGTTTAGAATACAGTGATTTACCAACTATGCTTTTAAACGTATCTGTGTTGTTGAGGGTTTTGACTGTGAATATTGATAATAATTACAATAAAGGTTAAGTAGAAAAATATGAATTATAAGAAAAAAATATAAACTGGACTTTTTAGGTTCCTTTATATCCACGCTTTCAGAAATAGGGTAGTTTCCTCCAGTAAAACGAAATAACAATTTTCGTTAAACTGGAAAATTGAATTTGGTTTTTTTTTTTGTCACGGGTGACCCGGTCTTAGGTTCGATTCCCACCTAGGACAAATATTGTGTGATGAGCACGGTCATTTGTTCTGTGTCTGAGTGTAATTTATCTATAATATGTGTCTATTTGAAAATATATAAGTATGTTTATCAGCAGTCTGGTTACCATTTGCCTAGTTTGGGATCAGATGGCCTGTTTTTTTTTTCTTATGTTAGAGGGCCAGACGAGCAGACTGGTCACCTGATGGAAAGTGACCATCGCCGCCCATGAACGTCTGCAACTCAGGAGTCACAAACGCGTTTGGTTTGCCAATATGTTTAAATTATCAAGCAAAACCTTAAAAGTAAATAATTTTAAAAGAGTACCTGCAGAAACCATCGCAGTTCGGAAAGCGTAGCGAAAGCAAACACCACCTCACCTATCCGATGCTCCTCCTCCTCCTGGATATGTCCTTGGATACCCTAAAACAGAAGCTTCTCCTAAAGAGACTTCGGAAGAAAAAGACGAAAATATTTATATGTTACAACTGACTTATGATCCACTTCTCTTCAGGAATACCTTTTTATTGTTACATCATCACCACGGTGTCAGCCGCCTGCTACATCTACGTGTACTTATTTTCAATGGCATGGTTTGTATTCTGGCGCTGTACCATCACTGGTGAACGGGTCGCAGCTATGATCATACTCTCTCTTGGGATCACAAGCGAAATTGGGAACCTAAAACTTATTTATATGTGTCTACACATGTAAGTTATATAGCAAATATGTATATCGCTCTATTTATCTAAATATTAGTACAAATCACTAAAATTACATATTATTTATTTATTTTATTATCATACAAAAAAATCTTACAAGACTACCCACAAGGTGACCTGGTGAAGGTCGCGGGAAGCCCTTGGATGAGGACAGCACAGGACCGATGTTGTGGCGGACCATATCCAGTAATAGACGTCTTTCGTCTGAAATGATTTGTATATAGAGCTAAGTATGGAGAGATAAGTATGTAGTGTTGTGTAGTGTATATTTTAGTTGAATAATAATATAACAATAATAATATTCTACCACATTCACACAACGCCATCTAGTCCCAAACTAAGCAGAGCTTGTACTATGGCTACTAGACAATTGATATAAATACATATATACTTTCTTTTTTGTAAATACATCATATTATATCATCATCATCATATCATATTATATCATATTATACATAGAAACACCCAGACCAAATCAAACATTAAAATTACATGCACACAAATGTCTGACTTGAGCGGGAATCGAACCCGCGACCTTTAGAATAGCAGTCCGTTACACAAACCACTACGCCATCCGGTCGTCGTTGAATTGTAAGGATTCCTATACCACCTAAAGGTTGACTGTAAGAAAATGCCCTGGACAATACGTCCGACGATGTACAAGAGTGCATAAAGTTGTGTAAGTAAATAAATAAACAAATGATGATGATGATATTACCATGTAAACTATACATAGATTCGTTACTGTTTTAACCATTTTTGGATCAAAAACTAAATTTAAATTTGTTGACAATAGCGTAACATTACGTCACAAAACGTTATATCATAGAAAATTGTGCTTAGTTACTCTGAAATTTTGGCGTTTAATGAAAAACACAATTGATTCGATCCATTTTTCACGGATCCAGTCTTTCTCTTTTAAAATTTCTTGTAATAATCTTTCAGGAACAAGATCAAAAAAATTGCCAAAGATTTTTTGGCTTGTGACAATCAAATGATACGTGGAAGTCGCTTTCATATAAATTTACTGAAAAGCTTGAGGAATGTGAAAAAACGCGCTATCATTTACTGGATGATCCTCGTTGGCAATGGGATATTGTACCTTCTAAAACCAGCCCTGATTCCTGGAAGGAACCTTCCGGAAAACCAATTCGTTATTTACGGTAAATATCAAATAATAACTTCTACTGAGATTCTTCTACTAGAATAAAAACGTCTGAATCCGTCCGTGTGGTGAGGGATTAAGAATACAGTGTGTCTCCACCCGTATTGATCCCGTCGGTGTCATAAGAAGCGACTATGGGAGCAAACTACGCAAGTCAACAGCACTGCAGAGAGAATGAAAACTTGAAACAAACCCTATACCAACCCGTCTGGCCAGCGTGGTATAGTAGGCCAAAACCTCCCTTCTAAGGAGAGGCCTATATTCAGCAGTGGACTATTAAAGGCTGTTGTTGATGATGATGATGAGAATAAAAAAGACTTATTCTCTATTTTCTTGCTGAATCATATTTTTAATGCAATACAGTATAGTCAACAGCTATGAATTGGCTTCTGAAGCTCTGAGGCCTCACACATAAGCTGAAATTAAACAGAGATAGAGTGATGTTGGCGCGACTGTGGCGCCATCTTTCAGATAATAAAGCAGTCATCCGGTCTTATTTAAAACATTTTGCATATTTGTAACAGGCTTGGAACCAATGTTTGTATCACCACACTACGAGATAGCATACTTCATGATGATTGGAGGTATCTTCTTCGTATGTTACGTACCGGCTAACGTTACTGCATTCCTTATCGTGATTGCTGGCTACACAGAATCACAAATGTTGGCTTTAAGTGAAGAAATGCTACACATATGGCCTGATGCAATCAAAGCAGCTGAAAGAGAAATGGAAGTCAGCAATATCGATGAACATATTCCCAGCAACAAAAAACTTATCAACAAATATGTGATGAGACGTCTGAAAGAAATAATTGTTCGCCATGCTTTGGTAATAAATCTTTTCAAACGAGTTGAGGGTGTCTTTCGAGGTGCTATTGCTATGGGATTCATTCTATTAATCATCGGTTTGATTGCAGAGCTTCTTGGAAAGCTAGAAAACACATACCTGCAGATGCCTTTCGCTTTTATGCAGGTTGCGATGGATTGTTTTACAGGCCAACGAGTGATGGACGCTAGTATTGTGTTTGAACAGGCTGTGTACGACTGCCAATGGGAAAAGTTTGATAAAGCCAACATGAAGATGGTTCACATTATGGTGCAGAATTCCCAGAAGACTATGACTTTGTCTGCTGGAGGGATGGCCATGCTGAGTTTCAGTTGCTTAATGACAATCACCAGAGGAATATATTCTGCTTATACTGCTCTCAGATCTACTGTGAAGTAGGACCCATTGTTATTATTACTGTACAAGATATGAATTAAATAAAGAATAGTTACTTGGTTCTTCATTTTTCATTAAGTATGACTTCAATGAGCTTAATGTTACTGAGTATAAGGCAATAAGTTTTGTATCATATATTTATTTATATTTGAATTACTATTGTAACTATGGCCTCTTAGGGCATTAACGCTATAGAGACCACCTAATCAGTTACTAATGGCTGTAAAATAATATCACCGCATGCTGCGATACAAAACCCATTTCATTATTTTGAATTATTCCGTTTAGCAGACCATATGACTGAATATTTTTCTTTAAAAAAAACGACTGTTCGTAAAGGATGCCTTAAATGATTGGTAAATCTAAATTAAGCTAAAAAGATCTTAACGCACTTGACACATGACTGTCTAATACCCAACTAGGCAGAGCCTGTACTACCAAACTGCCGGTAAACATACTTATATATTACTAAATACATGCATTTTATAGATAAGTTACATCAATCGCAGAAAAAATTATAGTACTCATCAACATCCTTAAATAGTCTACTGCTTAGGTTAGGAACAAAAACTATGAGCCATTATGTCGTACGGCTCGTACGACCTAATGGGCCCACAGCTTCGATCCACAATGATTCCCTACTATAACTTAACCGTAATCCATATCAGCATCATCATCAGCATTATACATCACAATGTGTTTGTATATTGTAGTGATAACTTCTTATGGGAGGGTAAACCGTTTTGTTACGTAACGCGTTATGGCGCCAATCTGTCAGGCTTCCTTTTCTCTCACGCACACGGCAGTGGTAGGCAGGCTCCTCTTCTCCGCCACCGATGGCTCCGCCTCCGGCACTTGAGGCGCCTAACGTGGATGACGACGACGTGCCTGAGGTCACTGGGGTGGAACTAAGGGTGGCGGTGTTACGGCTTAAAGCTAAAAATACCGATCCGGGACTCGATGGCATTCCCGGCCGAGCGTGGGTCCTGGCCTTAGTCGACGAGGCTCTCGAGCCCCGACTGCGAGGGTTCTTCAGCGCATGCCTCGAGCGGGGCCAGTTTCCGTAATTGTGGAAGACGGGGAAACTGGTCCTTATCCGAAAGGAGGGGCGCCCGGCGGACTCACCGTCCGCCTACCGGCCCATAGTGTTGCTTGACGAGGTGTGCAAGCTCTTTGAAAGAGTGATTGCAAGGCGCCTCGTCAAGCATCTCGTGATGGTGGGGCCGGATCTGGCGGACAACCAGTACGGTTTCCGTCAGGGGCGCTCCACCGTGGATGCAATCATGCGCGTGAAGGCTCTGGCGGAGGAAGCAGTCTCCCGGGGCGAAGTGGTGTTGGCGGTGTCCTTGGACATCGTCAACGTGTTCAACACTATGCCCTGGAGCTGCATCAGGGAGGCGCTCGTGTATCACGAAGTGTCTCTCTACCTCCGCCGCATAGTCGGGGCATATTTGTCGGAGACAGCCGTCGTCTACCCCAATAGGACCGGTCTCGGTAGGCGTGAAATGTAGTGCGGTGTTCCGCAGGGGTCGGTGTTAGGGCCACTCTTGTGGAACATCAGCTACGACTGGGTGCTTCGTGGTGCCTTCTTGGATGGTGTCGCAGTCGTGTGCTACGCGAACGACACACTCGTGACGGCGCGCGGCAAGACGCACCACGAGGCAACCTTGAGGGCCACGGCCGGGGTTGCCCAAGTCGTTGAGCGACTCCGGCGGCTGGGTCTCTAGGTGGCTCTGCACAAGTCCGAGGCCCTGTTCTTCCACGGGCTTCGGAGAAAGCCGCCTGAGGGATCTAGCCTCACGGTAGAAGGCACTCGCATCGGCATCGAGCCCTCGATCAGGCATCTGGGGCTCGTACTCGATGGCCGATGGGACTTCGAATATCATTTCCGAGGTCTGGTCCCCAAGTTGGTTGGGGCAGCGCGTGCGTTGGCGCGGCTGCTGCCCAACATGAAGGGACCCGATGACTCCTGCAGGAGACTCTACTCGGGGGTTGTGCGGTCCATGGCCCTTTACGGGTGCCCAGTATGGGCGGGGGCCCTGAAGGCCAGCAACGTCGCGATACTGCGACGACCGCAGCGAGTGCTGGCCAACAGGATCATAAGGGGGTACCGCACGATCTCCTTTGAGGCGGCGAGTCTCCTGGCCGGAACTCCGCCGTGGAATCGAGAGCCCATGCGGCTCTGTATAAGTGGCGCAAGGAGGCGCGGGAGTTGGGTCGGTGTCCCGAGACTCGAGAAATCGATGACCGGAAATCCCAACTCCGCCAGGTCATCATAGGGGAGTGGAAGGAATGACTCGGGCAACCGAGCGCCGGGCACGCCGTCATCGCGGCGGTAAGACCCGTTATGGAGGAATGGCTCGAGAGGCGTCACGGGACCCTCTCATACCGACTGACGCAGGTGATCACTGGGAAAGGATGTTTCGGGGATCACCTGTGTCTGATCCGCAAGGAGCCAACGCCTGAGTGCCACCACTGCGATAGCCAGACCGTGGACACGGCTCTCCACACGCTGGCAGAGTGCCCGGCGTGGGTTGAGCAGAGGCGAGACCTCGTGGCGGCCATCGGAGTGGGAGTTCTCTTGCTCGATAGCCTGATTGCGGCTATCGTGCGGAGCGCGTGGAACTCTGCCGTCTCCTTCTGCGTGCAAGTTATGCTCGCGAAGGAGACGGCGGAGCGGGACCGGGAGAGGTTTAGGACTCTCCCGGCCCGCCAGGCCCAGGAACGGGCCAGGTACCGAAGGCGACTCAGGCGCCGGAGGTCACAGAACGACCTCCGTCCTCCATAAGTGCAGGCCTGGGGGTGACACACAATCCAAGTTGTAGGTGATATCAAGTTCAGGCCTGGGGGTGACAGGTGAGGCCATCTGTCACCCTAGCAGAAGCAGGCCTTGGTGGCGGCGAGCGCGTTGCGAAGCGCGCTCGCTTCCAGGGAGCACAGGGAACATGGGGTTCCCACACGGGGGGGGGGGTCGTCTACTCGTCTGTAGATGACCCGAGGTATGTCGGGGCACCAGGGACTTCCTTTCTAGGGTATACCTGGTTCCCCGGCTATTAGTACCCGAGACGGCGTGCGGTTTTAGTCGGTTCGAGTCTGACATGCCACCAACAGGTGATATCCGAGGGGATTTCCGCACGGGAAAAAAAAAAAAAAAAAATTGGCTCCTCCTCTTTCACTCTAAACCACAGCGCTAGCCGTATCTCGGACAGACGCATTACATAAAATAACCTAAGCTTTTCTCAAATTAAACAATTTCAATATTAAATAGTTCAACTAAGATAAGTTTAAGTTATCACTTCTGTCGGGCGTCCCCTTATTGTTACAGAAATACACAAAAAGTGTTTAGCACATCAGTTTATTTAACACATTATTTGTATTTTCAAACAAAGCAACCTGTAATTATATTGTTTTGGGAAGTTTTTCAACGAGCAGCTGACCACCATTGTTTTGACATCTAACACCGCTCTGATGTCTTAATTACCAGCAGGTAACTAGTTAAAGACACTTCTCACGTCCTTGATAATTAATAAATATTGGAAAGTTAGTTACTGTTTCGATGACTTTATTTGATCAACGGTCAACGGGTGAAACTTACATCCTCAAGTAAGTATCCCAATATTTCCAAAAAAACGAGCACTTCTTGTAACTTTAAATAACAATAAGATTATACATTATTAACAATAATAATAAGATTTTTTTATAAGCATGTTTATTTCAAATACAATCCCTGTACAATAATAAAAAAGAATATCTTAGAAATTTAAAATAATGTCAGTAGGTTAAATAAGGAACAGAAACAAACAGAACAATATATAAGTAAACAACATAATATAAATGTAATTATTATTAATTATTAAATTAAATTAAACATAAACAGGTATTTTTAAGCAACTAAACCCTTAACAGCATTAATGTAGAATATTATATCCTTCTTATATTTGCCCTCTTTTTGGTTATATGATACCTTGGTATAGATAGTTCAACTCAGTTGTGCGCGCGGCCCTATGTGTGCGTGGGCTTGTAAATATACAACTTTCATTCGTGTGCTGCTCGGACGACGACTGCCGCGTCACTGCCACACGAATGAAAGTTGTACATCTACATTAAATTTTATTTTAGCTCTAACAACATGTGGGAGAATCTTCGTAAGTTCAACTTGGATCATTGCGATTTGCCGACCATGTTGTGGAATGTGGCTGTTGGCCTAAGAGTGCTTACTTTGAACATTGAAAGAAATTACGATAAAGGTAATCACGACAAAACAAAAACTACATCAATGTTTTTTTTATTGTAACGAAGTTTCTTACCGAGCGTCACACGCTCTGAGCGGATGGGAGCGAGACCGAAACATGTGTAACAAGACTTTTTTCCGACACATCTTGCTATAGTTACAGCCGTGTATAGAAAACGTCCACCAAAAAGCGAAAGAAACTTCGTTCTGACCATATACCCCCCACGCCGTTTTTAATTAAATAAGGGGGCAAACAAGCAAATTAATCACCTGATGGTAAGTGACTACCGCCACCCACGGAACTTGCAACTCGAGAGTTACAGAATGTGTTGCTGCCCTTTGAGTCCTCGCCCCCAGAATCAGAAGAAGGAGAGGTTTGAAATCCAGTAACCTGACTCACTAGTTAAAAAACGATTGAGAAAGCTCATTGGTACTCACACGTAAAGTGAGTAATTGTGAAACTTTCTACAAACGCTGACAAGAATAGAGAATAGAACATGGGCCTTATTTCCTCCCCTATCCGTTCACTTCCCCATTCACTAATCTTCAATTAATTATTTCACTTCACAGGAATACCCATTTACTACTATATTCTGACTTTCGTGATAACCGTTTCTTATTTCTACGTGTTCCTCATCTGCATGATCTGGTTCGTGTTCATCCGTTGCCGGCAGACTGGAGACTTGACTTCGGCTATGGTGGTATTGTCTCTGGGTATTTCCAGTGAGATTGGGACTATTAAATTGTTGTGCATGTTTATATATGTGTAAGTATCGCACAAATGATAGAAGCATAAATACTAGGAACTATCAACCATTTGTTCAGAAAAATATTTATTCTTCTTAAAATCAAAAGATTTGTCATCAGCCACAAGTGGCACGCACTATAACTTAACTTTAAAAGGCCGAGTATAAAACTAAATCATTAGAATAGATTTATACAAATTTATACTTAAAATTCAATAAACTAGAAACTAAAATTCAATAAACTAGAAACGCGCCTGTTCTATAACAATACATAAAACCCTTGAATTTAGAAGAACCCTAAATTCCTGATAATTGCATTCAGCTTGCTCATCTTCCTGGGCCATTTTAACAGGGCCTTCTTCAGTACACTGCTGATCTGGTCCAGAATGTCTTTCAGGGCCTGTCCGCACCGTCTCGCTCACTCTCAGAAGTCTTACAATTGGGCTATTTTAGTAATATACAAATTGCAATCTGCATCACCATTACTCTTTAAATAGATATTCAGATATATTTCAAATCTTCCACCAGTGACAAGATCAAGATGTTAGTAGACGAATTCTTAGAATGTGATGCACAAACGGTACTAGGTGACCGGTTCCGAAGCAACTTGCTCAAGACGTTGAGAGTGGTCAAGAAACGAGCACTTTTATACTGGACAGTGATTGTTGGTAACGGCATCTTGTATCTTTTGAAACCTGTTGTGATGCCCGGTAAGAATCTGCCCGAAAATCACTACGTCATTTATGGTAAGTGTGATAATTTTAGCTGAACACGTATTTTAAATTACGTTGTTATGATAAATAAAAAGTATTGCCTGAAAGAGCTACAAATTAGACTTAGATGCATTTGAGTAGCAGTTAGCTATTTTAAAAATATCATTTTTAAATAGATTAAACAAATTACTTAGTAGAAGATTTCTGGGTCCTTAGCTGTTTTTTTATTTGTACTGGTATTAGTTCTGAAAAAGTATTACCTACCTAAGTTTAAAATTTAAATATCTTAACACTTCCAGGATTAGAACCTATGTTTGAAACACCTAATTACGAAATAGCGTGTGCTATAATGACAGCCGGGGTATTCTTTATATGCTACGTACCAGCTTCTGCCACAGCATACCTCATAGTCATAGTAGGATACATTGAAGCACAACTACTAGCTCTGAGTGAAGAAGTTCTTCAAATTTGGCCTGATGCTGTTAAGAATGTAGAAGCTCACATAAACGTTGTGGATATAGAAGAGTTTGAACCAAATACAAATATATTAATCAATAAATATGTAGAAAAACGTTTAAAGGAAATCATTATCAGACATGCGTTAATCAAGGAACTGTTTCTCAAAATTGAGGATATATTCAAAGGAGCAATAGCTATAGGTTTCCTACTTCTTGTACTTGGTTTAATAGCAGAACTCCTTGGGAAGCTAGAAAACACATTCCTTCAAATGCCATTCGCTTTTATGCAAGTTGCGATGGATTGTTTCAATGGGCAACGAGTGATGGACGCTTGTGTTGTATTTGAAGAAGCTGTGTACGATTGCCAATGGGAGAAATTTAACAAAGCGAACATGAAAATGGTGCTTATAATGCTGCAGAATGCTCAAAAGACAATGACATTGTCGGCCGGCGGCATAGCCATGTTGAACTTCACTTGCTTGATGTCTATTACAAGAGGAATATATTCTGCTTACACTGCTCTCAGATCTACTTTTTAATTTTTATTAACTCCCAAGCACAACGTGTTCTTACTGATAGAAACACTCATGTAGTAGACACAAAATAAACTAAATAAAATGTTATTGTAACTTTATTTGAGACCTTTTTGAATAAATCAATTAATCAACGATTAAGAGATATGGATCAACTTCGTGACAAGAGAGACTGAAAATGTAACATCGTGTTAATTTATGGAGCCTATTTTGTTTGCGTTTATTTTTGGGACCAAATGCAGTTTATAACTTAAGAACTGAACTATCTGTAAGTATGTATCGCAGGAAGTTAATAATGGTTAATGACGCAAAAATATACAAAACCGTGGCTCCCGTCCCTTGACATAGGACAATTCGACGTACATATCAAAGTCAAAAGTTTACCATTGAAAGTAATCAACAGCTTTTGATAGTCCATTGCTGCTGACATAAGGCTCTCTTTAGAAAGGGGGTTTTGATCTACTATAAAATATACGATAGCCAGACGGGTTGTGTAGGGTTTGTGTCAAGTTTTCCTTATGTATTGAGAGTATCACTGAGACTAATTGAGAATATTTTCTTTACTTACTTTGAAAATTAAGGACCAGCTAACTCCCATTGCAACACATTAAGGTCTTGCTAATTTCGATCGATTTAAAACTAAGGTAATAAACAACTATCTATCCTTGGCTGTATGCTCGATACACACATATTATACAAGCACCCAGCTTAAGGCGTAAGCAGAGGTGTAAAAAGTACAGTTTTATTTCCATCTATTTATTATTATTATTTTATTATCTACGTAACAGAAGGCAAGTCTTCAACGGAACACTTAGGATCTTTTGCGTGTTTAATGAAAGGAAAGGTTAATGAGGGTTGGCATTGTCAGGAAAAGAATCATCCGTATATGGTTTATATATTTATTTACAACTTTATGCAAAATGGTAGAGTAAGTAAGCACAATTTTCTTTGATATAACGTTTTGTGACGTAATGTTACGCCATTGTCAACGCATTTACATTTGGTTCTTGATCTAAAAATGGTTAAAACAGTAACGAATCTATGTTTAGTTTATTTTACATGGTAATATCATCATCATAATTTATTTATCTATTTACTTACACAACGTTATGCACTCTTGTGTCTTAATGCCCTAGGCATTCTCTACCAGCCAACCTTTAGGTGGTGTAAAAATCTAGTAAAGTAGGTGCACTGAGTACTTTTAAGTTTTAACTAACATATACAATTACATACATATACAAATACATATACTTTATATTCGTACACAATAAGGATGACTATTGATTGGGTAATTCCGCCATTTCAAGAAGTACATTTTTGTAAAATATTAAACGGTTTATGGACATCCTAATTTCAACGAAGAGTTCACGAAGTCCGAATTGTGGCAGGGACACAGGAGAAGCTAATTATTTGTTGAGCGAAGATTTCTGTCGTGTTTAGCGGACAGGAAATGCAAATAGGGATCGAGGTAAGTGGGTGAGAATGGGGAGTTGAGTAACGAAAAGAGAGAGATCAGCGCTCGCTGGTTACTGTGCAGGCGAATAAGTAACCATTTTAATTGGGGACGTCAATCAGACTCATGGTCATACTTGCGAAGATAAATATGTATCGAATACAGTTATTAAGAAGATGGTCTAGATTTCTTATCGGAATGGAATGAGGAATGTAAGTAATAGATTAAGCACTTCTGCATAACTATCTGCCGAAAAGTCTACTATCTTCTTACTATCTTCTGTTCATTACAAACGAATAAAATTTTCCTATACAGAAGGACTTACGGCAACAAGATATTCGAGAATTTGAATTCTTTTTTTGTATACTCGTAGTTAAGCCTGAATCCTGCCTATTATTAACAATGTGTCTTTTATTACCAGATTTTACAATTAACAATCATATAACCTTGGAAGAGAAGTAAACAAACGGATTAATAACACCACTTACTTTATTTAAACTTTTTCTACCACTACACAATGGGTCTAAAATCTACAAATCGACATCACTGATACAATTACTTCTGTAGAGACTCTCTTCTTCGTACTTGTATGAGATGTCCGCATGTGGGGCGCAGCCCAATATCCACCTTAAATTGCATATTATCTGCTTCCGAAATAAACTCCAGTTCTCTCACACATTGTGATATCACTGTCTTTAGGATCGCCATAGCGTATTTTTTACCTGCAAAGATGTCCAAAACTCTGCTTCAATCGAATGCTGCAAAATATTTTCTGCTCTAAGATAACTTCCGTTAGATCTATTTTAGAAATACGTTTGGTTTTGCTACATGCAGGTTTCACCAATCAGGTGACGGTCCCATGTACTAGGAGGTAAACCAATTGCCATCACGTAGTGAATATATTTTTTTCTTTATTTAATTTTTTATCACAAGATTTTTCATAATAGATTTAAGCTTCTAAATACTTTTTTTAATCTGACAACTTCAGGGTCATTTTGAGGTAGACACTTTCTAAAATGGCCAGTACATACTGATGCTTTATTGTAAAGACCAAAGAGTATGCAAGCAATAGATAACAAAAAGGCGTTTAAGTGGGATCTCAAGGCTGCCAAGCCACGCAATTAATACATAATACGTTTTGTTGTCTTTATACAGGATGTCAGAAAAGTACCGGAACGGCAGAATATTGCTATCCCATTTGAAACTTGCTCTTGACCCTTGAGATAACCTTCAGGGTCGTGATCAATGTCACCAATGGATAGCCAGGGAAAATTCCTGTAGTTATTGTGTTTAACGTGTTCCCGAAAAATGCGTACTTAGCGAAATATTTTGCCGTTTCTAACACACCGGGTGTTAGAACGCTTTATAACTTAGCTCGCATGGTTTAGTAGGCCAAAACCTCCCTTCTAAGGAGAGGCATATGTCCAACAGTGGACTACTAAAGGCTGTTGATAATGATTACGCATTTTACTTCCCTTTGACATCGACTTAAACGGCTATTACTCGTATATATTTTCATTGTTACTTCACTTACGCTAAATACTACAAAACAATTCAAGACACAACTAAAGTTGGACAGTTACCCAGCAAATAAATCTCACATTTAAGATCACAATTAAGATCTCTTAATAAAATGATTCTCTATTACTTATAACGACCATCATTAAAATCGATATAACCAGCACATGACTATACTGTACGTAATTTAAAGTTGTTTTTCTGTTACTGCTATGTATTCAATTAAAATCACTAACTATATGGACTTGGTCATTTTTGCTGTTTACAAGGATTATTACAATGACGAAAATAGAGTTACTTTTACTTGTTTTTTTTTTTGGACAACTCGCGCTTTAGGAATATATCCTGTGTCGCAGAGGACTTTACAAACATACATAAAACGGACACAAAAGACACCCAGACTCAGAACAACAAATTGTGGATCACACAAAATGTCGTCCCATGTGGGGATCGAACCCACAACACTCAGCGTAGTAGGAAGCGGCGTGGGAACCGCTTAAACCACTACGCCATCCGTGCAGTCTGATCTGACGATAATAAATTAGGTTTAAATAGTAATAAATGTTTTTAAATTAAATAGTAAATAATCTTGTTCATGCTAATTTGAAATATATCATTAAAATTGAAAACTAGATACAAATCCTTCGAAGTTCTTTCCTGTACATGTACCCAGTTACTCAACTGTATCAAATATGAAACTAGCAAAACCCATTCATGTAACTAGCGCGAGCGATGTACAAGTTCACATCATCACATCGCATCAACAGCCTATTACAGTCCACTGCTGGACATAAGCCTCTCCTGAGAAAGCAGGTTTTGGCCTACTATACCACGCTGGCCAGACGGGTTGGTATAGGGTTTGTGTCAACTTATTCCTTCTCTTTGCAGTGCTGTTGTCTTGTGTAGTTTTCTCCCTCAGTCGACTTTTACGACACCCACGGGATGAATAGGGGTGGGGACATTACGTATTCTTAATCCGTCACCACACGAGCAAGTAATTGTGCATGACGAGCAAATAACGCAAATAAACCGCGTCATTAACAGCTCCGACTACTTGCACCGTCTAGAACCGTCCTAAGGATAAATTGCCATTTCATTTATAGATGAAGTCGCAGTCCATTTATTTATTCATCACCTCCAATTTAATTGAATGGGTCACCTGGTGGTAAGTGACTACCACCGCCCATGGACACCTGCAACTCAAGAGTCACAAGTGCGTTACCATCCTTTGAGTCCAGTGAGTACCTGCGTCAGTCGGTAGGTGACGCACCCTCCCTACCCAAGCTACGAGATTAAGCAGAGCGGCTCCGACACGACAACTCGTTAGCTCGCATTCCGCGGCTATTCCGCCGCATTTCAAGCTCATCCTGGTCTTCCCGGTAATCTGTCTGACAGGATCCTCCTAGTTCAGATACCAGTCTCTCACAAAGGTCAGCAATATATAAATATTTTGTAATTATCATAAATTTAAAGTTAACATTTGTGAAAGAAATAAAAATAAATTATTATAATACATAAATGTCAGAATAGAATAGTATTTTTTCTTACCTATGCAGGCTCTTCTGCCGTAACTGAAAGCTAAAAACGAAGCAGTATTCCCAGGAGGCTGGTCCTCCAGCCATCGTTCAGGGCGGTATAAAGCAGAGTCCTTCCCCCAAACGCTGGCAGACCGACCTGCACCCCAGCCGTTTATAGCACATATAGTGCCTTTAGGGATCGTGAACGATTCTGGAACAAAAAATAACCATATGGTTTCTTTTGCTTTTGGTTTTCTTTTTAAAGCATTGTCAGTTGAATGTCCTTAGTACATCAAGAAGATGGCTTTTAATTATGTTTCACGCGTTCAATTCTTGCTTTGGCAAAAGTTTTCAGATTAATTTATTTTATTAGCCCAGTGGTGAGTGATCGTGACCGAACTAGAGATCGTGGGTTCGATTCCCATCAAGGACAAATGGTTGTGTGATGAATATGGTCATTTGTCCTAGGTATTTCTCTATAATATGTATTTTGTATTTCTTTTGCCTTTATTTTGGTAACAAACTGTTATATACAGTTAAAATACTTATAAATATGTAGCTCCTTACAATAAACCTATAAGGCCGAACAGATGATTTCAGTAACAATAAAATTTTAACTTTTAATTTGGAGGGACACGTATAACAAGCGTTACTTAATGAAAAACAGAAATACGGATACGTAACATTTTAGGTTATATCAGTTTTTTAAACGTTAACAAGTATAGAAATTGTATAAATACTTGTAATATATTATATGTGATAACTCAAGTAATATTAAATCTAATCTTTCAATTTTAATTTTAGACATATAATATAATTGTTAGTGGAACGGTAATATAAAAGTACGTTTAATCAGCAGCCTTGATTGCTCTAGTTTCAGGAAGTTGTAATAGAAGTCAGACGAGCAGATTATTAAGTATTCAATTAAAATTCCAAGGCTTAGGATGTTTTTCGGTATACAATGTGTAAAACAAATACTTACTTATCTGTAAATCCCTGTCTGCATACCGTAAGACTCCTGGCAGAGGCGGGTACATACGTAACGTCTCGTTAATAACTGCTTCAAGATATTTCATCTCTGAAAGATCTTCTTTTGTCACTGGACGGGTGCTGTCGCCAAATATAGATTTCATTCTGAGTAAAACAGATTTAATTTTAATATAGCTTTTAAAACTTTACGGAGATTTAAAATATTGCATCACACTTGCATCACAATACATCACAATCTCACAATCTAACATCATATCATATCATCACATCAACAGCCTTTAATAGTCCACTGATGGACATGCCTCTCCTTAGAAAGGAGGTTTTGGCCTACCATACCACACTGGCCCTTAGTCGGCTCTTACGACACCCACGGGATGAATTGGGGTAGTGACATTCCGTATTCTTAATCCGTCACTACACGGACAATCAAACATGGCTTTTATAAAGCTCTACACTAAATAACTCAAACCTTTTCGACCTTCGGAAACAATTTGCAATATTTTATGCAGAATGAAGCATGCAGATTTGCCACGGTGTTTAAAACTATTATAAAATTTCACAAGATATTTCTAGTTTCAATTCTGAAAGTGATACAATATTTATTGAAAAAAAGGGATATCCTCAAATATGCGACCATTTAAATATCATCTATTGGCAGTGTCAAGATAAAGGATCAAAGATTGGCTCATCGCCAATAGATGATCCTTTATCTTCGCACATCGATACACCATCGGTTTTTTTTTGTAAAGACAGCTCTCCTACTAGGAATATATTTGTATCGCTTAAGACTTTACAAACATTGTACACAATAGACACAGAGAACACAAAGACTCAGAACAACAATTTGTGTATCCAATCTCACTTACTCCGCGTACACCTTTTCCTGCACTCTTGTTTTACAACCAAGGAGAAGCAGAGTATAAAACATCGTAGAGGCAACTGTCTCCTGTCCCCCCACTATGATCGTGTCCACTTCTGACTTGATCTGTTGCTCCGTAAGACTAGGGTCTATCTCTCTCAAATCTAACAAAATATCCAGGAATGCCTTGAATTTCGGTCCTTCTGTATCTAAAACATATTTCATTCATTCACATATAATTATATTATTATTTGTGTTATAAGAATCAGAATTCAACCGAATTGAAAATCTTTTGCTCTTTTTAAGTCGATTTAAAAAAAAACACTTAAATCGATTTTGATCACGAACGTGTATCCATCGACGTATGACGTCACACTCGTAAAATACCATGGCAATCGCCATGCCAAAATTTAATTTAGAAAAACTTATAACCGAGAAATTTGTTGCAGCTAACAACAAACATTTGTAACACCAGCTAGGGCATTTGTGCTTCAACAATACCTTTAACAATTACATGAACGCCTGCTGGCTAAACGTACCATCTGATTACCATCAGAATCCCACTTGGAATCCCACTCACTTGGCTCATGCTCGTGGAGAAATCTACTGAGTCTTACTAATTATCTAATTGCTGCAACTCAATAACAAAGAAAGAATATTCATAGATAACTTGCCACCAGAAAGCACTATTTTATTGTTACCTACCACCAGTCTTCTTTTCTTTCATTTCTTCTGTCCTTAGTTTCTCACGCTCATACTTCCTTTTCCTCATGACCTGTTCATGGAGAAAACTTCTGTCATAAACATGTTTAGATCGAATTGAACAATTAATGGGTAATCTCTCCCTCTCTCTCGCCTCGCAATGCAAAGAAAAATTCATGGATACCAAGTGCGGGTAATTACTCAAACTACCATGGTTGGACCAGGGTAGTTTGCTTTGGTCTTGCGTTTCAAGAAATTTTATTTAAACCTATAATATACTAACTATTGCCAACGACTTCGTTCGCATGATTATTTCTTTTTTCTAACTATGAAAATGACGAACTTTCGTACGACTGGTCATCTTCTTTTACTCTAGAGGGTGAAATTTCCAAAAAAACTTTCTTAGCTGCTGCGAAAATTTCAAATTTGCAACCCCCAAGGCTTATGCTCTGAAAATGAATCAGTCAGGGCATATAGTTTTATATATCTAGATTCTTAAAGGTCTATGACCCACCATCTGCCTAACTAAAGAAACAATAGAAGAAGTGAAGAACAGTGTTAAAAGTTATGAACATCCTATTTGCTCGTACCAAAGAATGAGATGTCCAAATTAGTTCTACTTACTGTGTCAGAAACGTTATGCAGTACCCTAACACATTTCTTTATCTCCTGGTATTTTGGAGTTAACTTGTATGTGAAGTCTGGATGCACGAAGGCGTTCATTCCTCTATTGACAAGCAGCTCTAGACATCGGTTGAATGCTACATAATATTCCGTTGTCACAATATTTTCGGATATTTTTGACACTCCTAATGCAGTTTCTGTTTAAGGAAAAAGTAACATTTGTATTTTATCCATTATAGTAGACACAGCATGATTTATATTTTTAGACCTTGTCGAACCCCAAAAATCAGTTTTTATTTATGTCGAGAGGTCGAGGGTCGATTTTGGGAACTTTGGGAAATTTTGGGGACTTTGGGAATCAATGTTCTAAACTATAATCATTAGGACGCTACTTGTAATATGTTTTACCATGGGTAAACCAGGGTCAACTTGGTACTACCACGGTCTTACAGGAAACCGGTATTAAGTTATTTTTCGTTGCTTTCAGCAATTGAGTGAGGCTACCAGAGCTCAAACCTCCACTCCCCATCAATAGGCGGTGTGGAGGAACGGGTGTCATGTCCCTCCAACACAAAAGCAGGATCCTCCGACCAGGCGAGGTGATCATGCCTGGCGGACCGCGGGCCCCACGGTTGATGTTGCAAAGTTGTATATACATGTATGTTAATCGGCGAAACAATTCTTCATATTTCTTTAGGCAATTCTCATTCAGGAGTTACTCCGAAGTTCGGTCTGACTTCGTTAGGCAGCGCTGTAGTATGTTTCTGTTTCTTTGTATGTGGGAGTCGCCACAGGCGGCACTGCACTTAAAATAAACGCTACTTGAGATAAAAAAACCTACCACTTTGATTATTTTAGAATATACTTAAAATTAACTTACGGCAAATGGCCTCCAGCGTAGTATATGCTAAATACTTTTGCATTATATCAAAAGGTTCCTGCCCGACTTCCATCAGCAGATTATCGACCAGTTTTTTAGCTTGTGCATTAAATACACCCAAATAACTATCTACCACTGATGAACTGAAAGTGCCAGCCAACTTTCTTATATTCTGTTTCCACGTTGAAACTGTAAAGAATGACAGTCATTGCTAAAATTGCAAATGCAAGGTTTGGAGAGTCATACTTTAGCACATAAGAGTGGGTTAAATCGAAGTGATAATACAGCCTCATAGAAAACCCGCCTCTCAAGACAGACCGCGATGGAAGTTTCTGGTAACGCCCTCTAACCTATTCAGGGTATATAAGACCACCGTGATACCACGTCTTCAGCGAGTGTGTGGGGTTCAGAAGTTCTAATTCTGGGAAGGATGCACTCAAGGAACTGCATAGGCGGAGGTGGTCACTTACCATCAGATGAAAGTCTGCCCGTTTTTCTAATCATTCAATTAATCAGATACACTACTAAATAAGTACAATCACTATATAAAAAGATTTTATATTTATTAAATATCAATAACGATTACCAGGTGCTGTAACAAGTCCATCTCCGAGCCATATTTTGCCAAAACTGTAGATATACGGCTTCTCCACGAAGGCATTAGTTATTGTTCGCACGTCCTCTGGATCCTGTACAACTGAGGAATTGCGTCTAATACTCAGTTATTAATATTCAGGTTATGGTTTTATTCAGTTATTTACTTCCTTTGAAACGCTTCCAAAGGGTTTTTAAAAAAGGTTAATAGCTGAATAAAACAGCAGCTGAACTCAACAGTTTCTCAATTTCGATCATTCTTCTTCAGAAACATATGAAGATCTTTGTTAAGTTCAATTCTTAACAAATAACATATGCTAATTCAAAATGTAAGTTCAAAAGAAAGTAATGCTTAATTACAAAATCCTTCGCTATTCAGCAATGTTACCTTAGAGGAAGTACTCACCTAACAAGGGGCAGTGGCCAATCCATATTACAAACATTCCGCTCTCATTGTTCTCGCAAACCTCAGATACATGCGCTATGTGACGGAACAATGCTGAAATATAATAGTTCATATTGAAAATATAAAGAAGGTAGAACAGTAAGATCCAGGACAAGTTCTAGGGCTGACAGAGGCCACACTCAGAAAAGCAGAAGCGTACTCACAATCACATCATATCACGCGCACATCATACAAGGGATAAAGCTTATTTTAAAATCATAATGTTAAGTTTCTTATTTAAATGCCTAATTTTAGTTTACATTTGCTAATCTGTACGTATCTTAATGCATGCTGAGTTCACCTTTTTTTTTCTTCGTGCGGAAATCCCCTCGGATACCACCTGTCGGTGGCATGTCGGACTCGAACCGACTAAAACCGCACGCCGTCTCGGGTAAAAAGTTGTTACGCCTGAAATCAACAGCCTTTAATAGTCCACTGCTGGACATAGGCCTCTCCTTAGAAAGGAGGTTTTGGTCTAATATACCACCTAGGCCAGATGAGTTGATATAGGGTTTGTGTCAACTTTTCCTTCTCTTTGGGTGGCTGCAGATCTTGCTCCCTAAATCGGCTCTTACGACACTCACGGGATGAATAGGGGAGGTATTCTTAATCCGTCAACAAACGGACGTGTTGTTACGTCTGATTTTGGAAATTAAATGTTTTACAATATTTGATTTGATCTTATTGATTTGCATCTATTCAAATAAAAAGTTACCTGTCTGTGGCGTCATATTTAGAAAACAATTTAACATAGTTTTTTTAGTCAAAGCTCAACATGTAAAAAATTATATATATATATTATATAATAATATTTTTTAAGTTGAATTGTAATTGAGCGTCGTGTGACACTTCTAACTGTTATGGTATCAGACAGAAATTTGCATCTTTATTCTGTAAATAGTACTGCTATTGTTGTTTTAAGTGTATACCAACCTTTACTATCACCAAAGATCTGGTGTATATTTCCAATAAACGGCAGAAGAGGATAACTGGATAATCCTGCGAAACGTCTGCGCGCGCGCTGTTCTCGTATCCAAAACAACAGAACGACGCAGAGTGTCAGTACACCAACTATATACTGCCATAATATTTGCATTCTCTGTGTGTAAATAGGGATTTGGCTTGAAATAAATATGTTTCATTTGTCGTTAAAAAATAATAATTAAGCCGATTGACGAATAGAAGCTTATAGTTTCCCTACAGATGGAGGTCCCTTCTCTTCTCCCCAGAATCAAAGGGAAGGTGAGTTTAGGCTCCAGGAACCACACTGACGTAGTTAAAAGTAACGAAAACATTGCTAATGAGGTCTGCCGACTGCGCCAGTTTCTTGGCCAACGAGGACTTAGGAAATCACCTCTGAAGAAAAACATGTCAAATAAAAATCAAGGGTTGTCCTGGATATATTATAATATGTACCATTTTGTGCGGCCTAGTTACAGTGCGAGTTCGGTGGAGTATTCCGCAGGCTATTGCAATTATATCATCTCAGTTGTAGTGGATGTCGGCAGCCTCCTGTAGCGTGGAGGTTCACCGCGCCCCTAGTCCCGCCGTCACCACGACCGCATCATCAGGAATGATGGGACCAGATCACATCAACAGCCTTTATTAATCTACTGCTGGACATAGGCCTATCCTTAGAAAGGAGGTTTTGGCCTACTATACCACGCTGGCCAGACGGGTTGGTATAGCGTTTGTGTCAAGTTTTTCTTCTCTTTGCAATGCTGTTGTCCTGCTTAGTTTTGCTGCCTTAGTCGGCTCTTACGACACCCACAGAATGAATAGGGGTAGTGACACAATTCTTAATCCGTCATCATACGGATACGAATGTGGGACCGCGGACATTTTTTTGTGGCTTGTTATTACAGGGTTTAGCCTACTCTTGCAATGGTGCGATCAGCTTGTTTTGCGGCTAATGTTGCTTCTTACCACCCTCAGGTCGGAAACGGGGTAGTAGTGCCAACCACTTAGCTCTTTTAACACTTTTTTAGCTACTAATACACGGCTAAATTCGTAATGCATCCAGCAGACAAGACAAGATACCTTTGAGTGGCCTCCCTAGAGAATTATGGGGGCCTCCCTCCATAATTTCAGGCTCCGGTAACCTTACCCACTCAAAGTAAAGAAACTTAAGAATTGCTTTTCTATGAGCACGAACTATTTTCTATCAAACGAAACGCATGAAAATTATATATATTATGTTAAATTGAGAGTCTTCAGTCAAGTAGACCCAAACAATAATAAAAATAAACACCTATAAACTCAATTACAAAATAGCACAATATATTCATAAAATATTAACATTTAAATTAGGTACGTCTTTTTGTTTCAAAAATTATATTTACATACTAACTGTAGCACCTAATGCAAACAAAAGTTTTCAATTTTTTAAGAAAAAAAAACAATAAGAAATTAGGCGGGAAAATATAAAATGTAATTTATATTTTTATAACAAAGCATTATAAAAATATTTCTGTATGAGTATATATTATACGTAAAGATATGTTTTAATATATAATTCAGAATCTCTCTTAAAATTAATTTAACCAATTATGAAATTGTGTTAACTTACATTTCCACAGTATCACCACTTAAAGATAGTACAAAGGATTGCCTATATCTTGATCAGCCGCCGGCATTATATAAATAACGCTCATTGCACATAAAATGCATCCTTACCTTGTACTTAGTTCATCGTGGTACAGTCAGAAGCAAATTAATGAGAACATGAATAAAATAAACTTAAAATATGTTTTTTAAACACTGTGTCAACATCTCACAAAGTATCATTGATTTCATTGGGCCGAAACCACCTAATTTTTTCTCCCTTGAAGATGGATTATTATCTTTAAATTTAAATAGGACCAACCTTGAGTATTAATAAACCTAATAAGAAGATATTGCAAATGGTCCGTAAATGCCACAGAAACAAAACTACCGAAATGAGACCATCCTTTTTTGTGGCCTTACACTTTTACATCAGTGACAAAATGGTATACTGACTATACTTCATAAAATTTTAAAGATTGCTAATGCTAACCAGCCATGATAATTTATACATTAAGAGGCAAATTAATTGTCCAGACGTGCCAGAAGCCACGCCCAGTAGAAGGCAGAAGGTAGGTAAAGGTGGTAGAAGGCTACCAATACTAAAATTGCGCTCGCACAATCTCTTCTTCTTCCCATCCTTGACTATGGCGATGTCAGCTGTCTGGATCTCACCAAAGACCAACTGAATAAACTTGAACGACTCCAAAACCTATCTGTTAGAGTCATATTTGGATTACGCAAATATGATTACATCTCAGAGTATCGTTCTAAACTCAAGTGCTACCAATAGGCTTTTGCCGGAATATTTACATTCTTTCTCTGTTATACAGTGTTCCGTTTCATCACCACACACCCTTTTATCTCAAAGAACGTTTACAGTTCTTACACAACACACATTGCAGGGACCTGAAGTCATCGGAGCATTTAAAACTAAAAATGCCACAACATATCACCCAGTTTGCAGACAAATCTTTTGCTGTGCAAGCAGTAAGACTTTGGAACAACTTGCCTTTGACAATCCGACAAGCTAAAATCTGGCCGTTTTGTAAAAGCTAGTGAAGGAATTTTATGTGACATTATAAATACTGTTGGTTTCATTATATATAGTACTAGCTGATCCGGCAAACAAAAATAAAATTAGGGATGGGTCACCCTTACCATTCAAAATTGTGAATCTAAACCATTCCCAGATCCCCTTGAACACACACAAAAAATTTCATCAAAATCGGTCCAGTCGTTTGAGAGAAGTTCAGTGACATACACACTCACAGAAGAATTATATATATAAAGATAAATTTTGGACTGTATATCTATAATTTTTATATATGTGTGTATGTATGTATATTTATGTATGTGTAATGTGAACACATGTACATTTGTGTAGGAATGCTTTTGTTGATATTTTTAAATATCCACGTGATAATTGTTACGTGTATATCAATTAAAAACGTGTATAATAAAAATTAATACCTAATATCCGTATCAAGGTTGTCTGGAAGAGATCGCCGTGAGCGATAAGACCGCCGATTGTTACGTCTATATATTTTTAATTAACTATATTCAATAAAGATATAAATAAATAAATAAAATGAATGTTTCGATCACAGATAGAACTGTTTTTATTATAAATCTTAATATTAAAGTGACAATTGTTTGTGGATTACCTGGATTAAAAGTAATTTGTAATAAGAGCGTTGGAGTGCCGCGTTATTGGTATTGGTAAGGAAACCCTTTAGAAGATGTTCCTTTTAACTGTCGCAAACACCATACTCAGGTAATGTGTAAATTGAACTTACAAATATACGCATGTGATTTCTGTTTTGTTATATCACATTGCAACTTTGAGTTGTTTCTTAAATTGACCATAAGAAACTATTAAATTGCAATTTTACCTTCAGGTTTTTTTCTAATAGATTAAAAACCATTAAAGCTAAAAATATTTTCTTTTTAATTAACGCCATCTGTTCAAGTATAGCCTCTTGATTTCAGAATCGTAGTGAACTCTACACAATACAATACACAATCATGGCCTTCATGAGCTACTTCAGTCACGAGTTACGTACAGAGATTTGCGGTATCCCTGATATCCCTTAAAGTAAGGACTTATTTGTTTTTCCCCCGTTTACCTTCTCCTTTAGTCTGGCAAAAGAGACAAATGGTGATGATGATTCTATTTCAACTATAGGGACATCTAATAATTTGTCTTGGTTAAAGTTTTGATAACCTTCTTTTTCTGCCTTAATCTAATAACACAAAATGGCGCCCGAACTCTCAAAGTTCGAATTCCGTGTTCCAATATCAATCGTTACATTGTAGAACTTTCCCTGGATCCATTTGCTCCCTTTCTAATCTCATAAATGAAATGAAGTGAAACCGAGATCAAACAGAAGAAAATTTACTTCTCAGTGTACCTACTAATAAACTGTGAACATTTTTATACAGCCATAGATGTTAAAATACAATCATTGATAATGTTTGATAATGAAACATATGGCGTTCATTACTTATAATGGTTGTAGAAAATGTAGTGATTTATTTAAATGTTAAACGTGTACAATAAAACACCGAGACATATTATGTTGAATATATTATATTAAATGGAACGATTATAGGACACTTGGATACATTAATTTTAAAGTGTAAATGAGTTCTAGTAAATAATGCCTATACTATTTTTTGGTCGGCGTATAATTTTAATATCTAATTGGGTAGTTTTGGATAGCGTGATTGATTTTATTTTATGAAAAAACGAGTGTGCTTTAGACCACACGACTGAAGTAAAACTTTTAGGCTATGAGAGAAAAAGACAAAGAAAATGTGTGCTCTCTCTCTTGCCCCTACAGTAATATACGAACACATCACACGATCACACTTTTCGTAACGCTCCCGTCACGCATTCACCAGGTTACTCCCCAAGTCAAGCGTGCGTAAAGAAATTTTACTTCAAAAACACTCCTGTTTTCCTAATTATTTGGGAATACACTTCGCATCGTTTGCTATGTAATCGTAACCATGAGTTATTGAATTTAATATTGTGTCCGTAGTATCTGTAGGCTTGCACCATTCTTCACTTTAATTCTGTACACCCTTCTGGTCACTAAGGAAAATTGCGAGATACAGAACAAGCTAGAAAAATACCAAAAAAACTGAAAGTATTTCATGGAATGGGACAGCCTCGATTTGCTCATACGAAATTAATGCACAGGCGACAGGTTTCTTGTTAAACTGAAAGAAGAAGTTATTAAAATAAGTACGATCAAAACGCTGCTATCATGTATGAAAGTTATTTACTAAGAACACCATGTTATATGCCTGTCTGTAACTGAAATGCAAATGCTAAGTTGTTGTGTGACTGGAATAGAGAAGATGATGAAAGAGTAGAGACTATGAAAAGTTAAAAAGTAGTAGATTAATATAACATGTCGCATAAGTGTTTGAAATTCTAAACAAGGCTGCATTAAACTTAATAAGCTTACAATATGTACAAAATTACCGAGTACAGGTACGAAAATCATATAGAATTAATGTGTGTCGGTGGTGATTGCGAAACGTTGTTCACATTGTAAAGCAAACATATTATTTCTTATTGTATTAACGTGATAATGTATGTTATGAAAAATAATGTTACTTACTGCACTCGAATACACGTGAAGATTTTACATTTATAAATATTTATGCATAAATATAGGGGTAAATACGATGTAGCATTCTTTACAGATAGTTGGAGTCCTAAAAAGGCCGACCAAATATATCTTCAGAACTTGATATCGCCTTTTTTTTTTTCCGTGCGGAAATCCCCTCGGATACCACCTGTCGGTGGCATGTCGGACTCGAACCGACTAAAGCCGCACGCCGTCTCGGGTACTAATAGCCGGGGAACCAGGTATACCCTAGAAAGGAAGTCCCTGGTACCCCGACATACCTCGGGTCATCTACAGACGAGTAGACGACCCCCCCCCCCACCCCGTGTGTGGGAACCCCATGTTCCCTGTGCTCCCTGGAAGCGAGCGCGCTTCGCAACGCGCTCGCCGTCACCCCGGCCTGCTTCTGCTAGGGTGACAGATGGCCTCACCTGTCACCCCCAGGCCTGAACTTGATATCACCTACAACTTGGATTGTGAAGTTCTGAGGGATTAGTGTCAGTTTATTTCACAACAATTCGCTTTCGACGGCGAGTGCGTTTTGTGTTGCGATTGGTGAGGGTTTCAGCGCGGGCTAGTCATCGTATCGATCGAGTTGATATGCTATACTCTCGCAGTCGCTCCATAATCCGTAAAAAATCTAAGTTCAGCCAGGTACACTGAAAACTGATCCTAACCTAGTTTGATGATATGGGTAAACTCGAGCCTATATACCCGAAGGGACAGAGAGACGCATATTATTACATATAATATTAACCATCATCATTCATCATCACCAGCCTATAACAGTCCACTGCTGGACATAGGTCTCTGCTGAAAAAGGAGGTTATGACCATCTGATATTGGCGGGCCTGTTGATCTAGTGGTTAGTGGCCCTGACTGCTAAGCCGGAGGTCGTGGGTTCGATTCCCACCCAGGACAAATATTGTGTGATGAGCACCTTCATTTGTTCTGTGTCTGGGTGTAATTTATCTATAATATGTATTTATTTAAAAATATATAAGTATGTATATACACATACACATCACACAGTACATAACGTTGTCTCTTTCGTGCGCAAGTAAAACAGTCGGCATTGGGTTAATGATGTCTTCTAATCTAGTGTGTGTAATATAATATAATAAAAAAGTTTAGGTAAGTATACCTACATACTTAACTTTTCGTGTAGTAAGTAATGCAGGTAGGTACTTTCTATTGATCTATAAACTAATTTAAACGAAACATGACGTTAGGTGACCAAAAATTGCCCACAATGAAGTGAAAAACACAGTTCTTTTATCTTTGTAGGCGAGTTTTCAACCGTTTAAAACGATTTATTTGGGGTTTTAAACGGCAAGTTTTTGTGTAAAACGTTTTAAATCGGTTGCTTTACATTTTTACACATGACACTTTTAATATACCGACTGGTCTCCAATAAATTAGTAAATCAAGTTGACCCATCGTTCAATCTTACAGTAAACGGTTTATTTAAAATTATTCAACCTTGAGATCAGAGTAGAAACAAGCCGCAAATGTCATTTTCGTGCAGACGTTCAATAACTTTATTTTTGAAATTGAACCAACGTGACCATATGCAGTAGATTTCTACTTTTTCAGTAGATTATGGAATTTCATCAGTAGGAAAAAAATTCATAAGTAATTTTGGTAGATTTCAGAATAAAGCTGGTATTTTTGGTAGATTTTTATTTTTTAATGCCATCCTATAAATGCAATTTTTTTTTGTTTATGTACAAGGGAATTCCCTGTATTGTCTTGTTGTCTTTTGGACAGTATAGAAGAGACAGACTATCGCAAGCAAAGACTTCGTTCATGATTTAATCATTCATTAGTTTCAATTGATTGCTTATTTTTCATGGTGAATTATGAATGAAAGCGTTTGTGTACTTTATTAGTTTTTACGTGATGAAGCGAAGATCTCTTCATACCTACTGTGACGAATGGAAACAAAATCCATTTTTTTTAAAGTGGTTGTGTAAATCAAAAGACGATGATGGTACAAGTGTTTATTGTAAAGCATGTAACTGTAAAGTGCTAAGCAGAAAAGGTTATCTAAAGGAACCATTAAATACAACAAAACATCGGAAAACATGATTGGGTTTACTGGAACCTCACAAGTAAGTTATAGTATACATTGATAACAGCTGAGTTACTTGTAAAGGGTGTCTCAGTAAGAGTGCAGTTTTTCATTTTAAAATACAAACACGTATTTTATGAAAGAGTTGTGATATTTTTATTGTATTGTAAAGAAGACATGTTCCGATTAAGTATGGTATAAAATATCTGGCGAATGGCCATTACTCTTTTCATAAAATTTTCCATGACTTTTACACAGAGATGTGGCTGTATCTCACCGATGATTCGTTGGGTCTCTGATTTAAGCTCAGGATTTTTTTCTGGTTTATTCGCATAAACCCGAAATTTCACTAAACCCAAAAGAAAAAAATCACATGGCTTTAAATTGCACGATCTTGGTGGCCAGTTGACATCAGATTTTCGTGACATAATGTGTTCTGAACATCGTTGCTGCAGGTGGCGCCGTCCTGCTGAAACCAGATGTTGTCCAGATCCATGTCGTCCAGTTAAGGCCACAAGAACTCCGTTATCATATTCCTGTAACGAATGCCTTTTACAGTCACTGCAATTTCGGCCTCATCTAGATAGAAGTAAGGCCCAATCACGCTGCCTGACTAAAATCCGCACCACACAGTTCCAACTCAACTCAAACTCTCTTTATTTCACAATTTTTTTTAAATTGTTTGAAATCGTCTTTTATGGAGACTCTAATCATAGATCAACACACACAAAAGCAAAAATCTCTGTTTTGTCAAATAGTAAGCATATAAATTTAACAAAAATTAAACTCATACAAAATCTATGATATGCCTGTGTCGATCTACAACCGCCCATTTCCAAGGGGTTGAAAGGGAAAACAAACTCATGGCCAGATGCTAGCTGTGGGTACAATTGATAATTCAGAATCATAAATTGTTTTGTTTGTGCCTTTTTTTTAATAAAAGTATTTCATAGAAATATTATTGGACTTTTATTTATTCTTAAATAACAACTGTTTTAACAGAGTAAATCTCTTGGTAATCACGTTTTCTGTTCAGTAGATTTTGGTAGATTTTCACAAGGTTGCACAGTAGATTGGCCCAAAAATAAAATGGTCACACTGCATTGAACAGTTGTTGTTATGAACATCTCTTTTGGTTGCTATTTGAAAGATAAAGAAAGAAAATAAAATGTAATAAGTGTGCAAAAAATACTGGAAAATTTTGTGTCATTCGTGTCATTCTAGTAGTTGTAGTACGAGAATGTCCCAAAATATTTTTACTAGAAAATATCAATAAATTGAAATAAACATGAAGAGGAACACACAGCTATTTGATTTGTATTGGGAAGACATATTAGTTGCGAAGGTTATGCCATATTTAACCATTAAAGAGTGCTTTAATTTTCGTTGTGTATCGAAGACTTGTTTGCAAATAATAGATATGTACTTCGCAAAGCTGAAATCTTTGAAATTGATGAATAAGGGATTTTCACCTCACACGTTTAGTGTAAGTAGTTTGTGCGAAGTCCGCTGTATAGCTACGAGTTGTCATAATTTGTTAAATATAAATATATTTTGCAGGTGTTTGCGATAGCTTGTTCACGACTAACAATTTTGAATTTAAGTCGCTGTCCGTCTATTACAGACGGAGATTTAATTCCAATATTGTTAAGAAATCAGAATTTGCTGAGCCTCAACCTGAGTCAGTGTAAAAGTTTGTCCGCCAAATGTTTACAACCAGTAATATTATACTGTAATAATTTACGAACCCTAAAACTGGCACGATGCCCGTGGTTAACAACTGGTGCCGTGGAAGCTCTGGCTCTGCACCAGTGCACCCTGGAAGATGTAGACTTATCCTACTGCGTCTCAATATCTGAAAGCTGCATACTGATATTCATTAAGAAGTTCAGACACTTAAAAACATTTAACTTGGAAGGCAATAAACAGGTGACTGACAAAACTGTGTATGCCCTGGCTAAGTACAGCACATTACTAAAAATGTTGAACTTGACTGGATGTTCAGAGATTACCGATAAAGGTGTCAGGTGAGATGTACCTATTTTATTTTTTAATTTATCACCCACAGACAAAGTTAACCTAAGATTTTTTTGTGGTGGAACATACACTGCAGGCCAAAAGTTTAAGATCACCTTAATTAAAGTAGGAAAATTAAATAAAACTTCAATAAACTTTTAAATCATCCAATAAAACACTTTTTGACAATCAACATACTTGAAAAGTGTAAAGAAATATTAACAGTCCATGCTAAAAAAGGCTATAGTAAGCTAAACTGATTTTTTTATCAAAATATCCTTCTTTACATTCTACGAGGGGTGATCAATAAGTAATGATAATCAATATGAAACAGAACTATTAGATTAAAAAAAGTATTTAATTTTTCAACATAGTCTCCTTGCAAGTTAATACATTTAGTGTATCTTTTTTCTAAGCCCATGATTCCCTTAGAAAAAAATTCTTTGTCTTGACCCTCCCAAAATGCCTCTACTGCGGCCATCACTTCACTATTGTCCTCAAATTTGTTGCCCCGGAGGTGTTCTTTGAGCCGAGGAAGAGGTAGAAGTCACTGGGAGCTAGATCTGGCGAATAGGGAGGGTGTTCGAGCAGTTCGAACCCCGTTTCTTCAATGGCAGCCATCGCAACTGCGGCTTTGTGAGCCGGGGCGTTGTCTTGGTGAAACAGCACTCCAGCGCGCAGTTTACCGCGTCTTTTTGACTTAATAGCTTCTCGCAATCTTCTTATTTGGCCTGCGTAGTAAGAGCCTGTTATAGTGGCCCCCTTTTCCAAATATTCCGCCATAATAATTCCTTCTGCATCCCAGAAAACAGACGCCATAACCTTTCCCGCTGAACTTGACACTTTGAATTTCTTCGGCGTTGGTGAGGAAGCTCGTTTCCAAGTCATTGATTGTTGTTTGGTTTCGGGATCAAAGTGGTGGATCCAGGTCTCGTCCATGGTCACAAAACGCGACAAAAAAAAATTCTTTATCGGCCTGGAACTTTTGAAGATTCACCCTCGAAATGTCGACTCGTTTCTTTTTTTGCTCGTCGGTTAACATTCTCGGTACCCAACGCGCAGAGACCTTTTTCATATGCATTTTGTTGACAATGATTTTTTGAACGCTGCCATAGGAGATCCCTGTGACCTCAGCTACATGCCTTACGGTCACCCTTCGATCGGCCAACACGATATCTTCCACTTTTTTGACGTTTTCTCCAGTAAGGGACGTGGAAGGGCGTCCCTCGCGATGTTCATCTTCAGTGGAGGTTCTGCCCAGCTTAAATTCCTTTGCCCAGCGTGCGACTGTGGAATATGGAGGAGCAGACTCCCCCAATGTTTCCTCTAAGTCGCTGGGTATGTCTTTGGTAGACATTTTTTTCAGGCAGAGGTACTTGATGACAGCTCTTATTTCATTTTTCTCCATTTTGATGTTTTCTCTTCGACAGTTCGTATTCAAATGAATGTATCTCCCGGTAATGGTGTCCTATTTATACATTTTTTTGAAGCTGAAGTAGTGGATATATAAGCAAGCAGAAAAAAAAAATTGGGGTTTTTGTGCGTTCTAGAAATACTCGATTATCATTACTTATTGATCACCCCTCGTATGACTTTATCACAAGTAATACGGCATACTGGCAATCAACTTTCGCATAAAGCATTCCACATTTCTTCTCCCGAGGATGGACCACAATTATGGACGTTCCTATCAAGCTCTTCCCACAACAGTTCAATGAGATTGAGATCCGGACTCTGAGGAGGCCAAACCATGTTTTTTAACACCCCTAAATAAACCTTAAAAATTATGCAGAGGAAAGAGGCACGCTCTTTCTCTTCCAAATATCCTCTGCATAATTTTCAGCTATGCTTAGGATCATTGTCCTGTTTGAAAATGAATTCATCTCCAATTAATCGCAACCCCGAAAGAACAGCATTTTCTTTAAAAAAAAATTTGTACTGTTCTTTTTTCATAATTCCGTCAATTTCAAATCGCTTGTTCCTTGGCTAGAAAAGCAACCTCAAACTTAGATTCATCGGTCCAAAGAACTTTTTTGAAATCTTCTTCAGTCCAATATCGATGGGCAAGGGCCCACTGCATCCGTTTTTTCTGGTTTTGTGGCTTTAGCAGTGGTTTTCGAACGGAGACGCGTCCATACAACTTCGCATCTCTCAGTCGCCGTTTTACTGTAGTCAATGATAAATAAAATGATCTTCACCTGACGTGGTAGCTCTCGGCCTTTCCGAGCGTGGACGATCTTGAAAACTGCCTGTCTCCCTGTATCGAGTTATTGTGCCATGAACACAAGTCTTCAATAACTTCAATTGTAAAACAATCTTACGTTTGGATTTGCCTTCATTATGTAAAATAAGGCAGAATGTACTTCACTGCTAATTTCGCGTGCTTTACTCATTTTTAGACATCTTCACTGTAGAAACCACAAGTTTAGCTAATTGAGATTGTTTGTGAACAAACCCATGTAAACTCACTTAAAAATGCTAATTATTGACCAATGGGAAACAAAAGTAAAGCAATTAGTTATAAGCACATCATAAAAATATTATTACGACTCTACCATTTGCTCAAACACAGCGTTTGTCGGTGTTTGGAAACAATACATGTTTATTTTCCAATAACTTGAAAGTAAATAAAAGAATGACTTCTTTAGATATTCGCTTTTAACAATAGAATATGCAGGTGTACATTTATTTTATGGGATTTCGTTACCATTGATAGATAATTATGTTGTTTAAATGTGGTCTTAAACTTTTGGCCGGCAGTGTAGTTGCTCATTGCAGTGCACATGCCTTTTTTTGGTTTTTAATGCATATAAAGTGTTGAAACTTAGAATTGTTATTTAGTTGGTTGTAATGTTGTTTTTAACCCAAACACTAAGTCTAGCTCCGGGGACTTTAATCAACAATGATCTTCCTTGTTAGCACCTTAGCGTTCCTTAATTTTCATTTTTTTTAGTCATTGATTCTCTCAGAACAAGAAATTCTAGGTGTAGGCGTTGTTTCTTTCCCTTGCATCAATATTTGTAAATTCCCCTGCTAAAGAGTGATCATTCGTAATTGCATTCATGGACAAAAAAATATATTTAAACAGCATTTAGGATAAAAAAAACAAAACCAGTAAACCCAGGGTTAACCTAATACCCACTCATAATTGTTTTAATTAACACATTTCAGATATTTAGGTCTTCATAGCCCCAAACTACAAGGCCTGCTTGTGCGAGGATGTACCAAAGTAACTGAGAATAGTCTAAAACTAATGAGAAACAGGGTGCACCTAGATAGGAGGTATGAGGAACCTCTACCAGTCCCTATCTATGTGCAAGTCTGACTCAAAGGTATTATTAGTATATTTCTTGTGGTTTTTAGTGCTTTCTGCAAATCATCCTTTGAGAGTATTTGCTTTTAAATATTTTAAAGAGGAGACTATGCTTTCTCTAGAGAAACATATATAATATAATATCTCCTTGATTTCTAATAATAGCATTTTTTTTTCAAGAAGTAAACTGATGTTTACAATAATTCATGTTCAAAATTATCATTTCAATGCATTTTACGCTATTTGATAAACACTGATCCTCAAAAATTAAATCAAGAATTTTCAAAATACAGTATAATCTCACTAATCCAGCACTCCAATAGACCGATACGTCCAATAATCCGACACCCTCCACCCGCGCGTCGCTCGCCACTCTACGCCTATGCGCTCCGTCGCCGCGTCGGCGTCGCGTCGTTGTCTAGCAGTCTAACCTCTAAACTTATCACGTGCACGTGAGTACGTTTTTATAGATAGTTCAACTCAGTTGTGCGCGCCGCCCTATGTGTGCGTGGACTTGTAAATATACAACTTTCATTCGTGTGGCAGTGACGCGGTGCTCGGACGACGACTGCCACACGAGAACACTCGACAACTCACACAACACAGAATAGTGTGTAATTAAAAATGTCAAGTAAACGGCAACACAAGACACTAGATTTGAAAGATAGAATGGACCTTTTAAAGAAGTTAGATAGTGGAGAAAACATGTGCAAATTGGTTAAAGGATATCGTGATGGGAGTACTACTATACATATACGATCTTAAGAAAAAAAAAAGCAAAGATAGTAGACCACGTGAAGACGATGGAATCTGGACCATGAAAGCGTGAAACATTAAGAGTTGGCGATTGTCCAAAGATGGAAAACGCCCTCTACATGTGGTTCATGCAACGGCGTCTAAACACATTCCTGTATCTGGAGAAATTCTGAAAACAAAAGCAAACGAATTTTAATTGAAAAATTACCAAAAAATATGTTTTTTGTGCCAGCGATGGATGGCTGGATAAATTTAAAAGCGATTTATATAGGATTGTGACAAAACGCAGAGTCTTAAAGAATTGAATTTGAAGGATGTTGTATTCTCTCTTGCTCAAGCTTGGGAGTCTGTTTCATCTGACTTAATCCAATCTTCATGGAAAAAGTTAATGCTACAATGAATGCTGTATCATAAGAAACAGCAGAATGTGATCCTGAAGATAATCTACCGATTGCCGATTGGTTGCAAAATCTATCAGAAAGAGGATTGGAGACAAGTAAAGAGCATTTAAATTCTTGGTTTGAAGGGATCGAAGAAACGGAAAATTATGACAGATGAAGAAATATGTGAAGCAGTACAAGAAGAAGAAAGCCTTGTAGAAATATTGGACCACCAACTACTACTCGTACAAAAGTAAAACCAGATGAAGCATTTAATTGTTTCAATACCTGCGTAACATGGGCAGATGAAAACGGTATATCCGCCAAAGATATTATAATTCTTCGAAACATGCGAGAAAAGGCTTTTAAGCGAAAACTACACAAAAGCAGACCTCAATTAAAGATTATTTTAAAACTATGTAATTACATGTTAATTTTGATATATAAGTTACAATAAAACCTGTCAAACAGGAACACAAATATGTACATACATACATTATATTCTTTTTATGATTTTTTCTCTATAATCCAGTAATCCAAACATTCCAATAATCGGGCACCCTCTGGTTTTTAATAATGCAGGATTAGTGAGATTATACTGTACTGTCTAAATTTAAAACTCTATGGACATAGAGACGACTTTTTTTTTTATTTGGATTGTACTAATGCGCCCCTCTATTAAGAGGTGAGGCGACCACCACATTTGTGATTAGATTATATATATTATATTTTAAAAGTTTATATTCCAAAATGGGACACTGTTTATTACTATGTGTAATATGCATTTTAAAAATCATCCATTATTTATTTAGTGTTTAAGTGTTTAAAAATAATTGTAATTGAGTTTATCGGGGTAATAATGAGCACAACAAATTATCTTTATTGGTGTTTTGTGTGATATAAAAATACTTCAAATTATGAAAAATTGTAATCTTTCATTTTAATCGTATGGTGCCAAACTTAAATTCTATCAATGTATAAAGGGTTCTTTTTTAGAGGCGGAGTTTATAATATTCATGAAATTGGCTTTATTTGAGAGATGATTTTATGGCATTGGTATTTTATGGATGCGTATTATCGTTCAGAGTAAACGTATTGCGAAAACGATCCATAGTTTCTCGAATTAATAGCTTTGATGGACGATTATGAGCACCATGAAATGCACATAATGCTCAATGACTTTCTCGAACCGTACCGTGTTTTTTAAAATTAAATTTAAACAATTTGCAAGCGTTGTTCCGATGTGAGTCTATCCATGATGAATTGCCAAACCAAACTAACTGTCAAATCGGCTGTCACAGAAAACAAGTGTTGCCAATTTAAAGTTCTCCGCCTCTAAAAAACACCCGTTAGTTGAGGTAGTATTTTAGTTGCAAATTCTTGATATCTATCGCCTGGCCATATATATTCTAGAAAAATTAAGAATATAGCATTGGTGTATTTCTGCTTTAATTTTTATTAGTGTAGATAGAATAATATTAATTATAGACAAATTTTCTTAACTGCTTATTTTCTAAAAATATCTAATAAATGCAGTGTAAAGTTTTACACCAAAGCACTCGTATCTGCCACTGCCACAAAAGTATAATTCTGTTACTGACCTAGTAGTATAAGTTTTAGTGTAGTAGTCTAGATATTATGGTACCCACTGACGGCTGTCAGCTTCTGTATTGGTTAGTGTGTCAACACCAACATCCCCCTATTTAGACAGGTAGAATTAGAGAAAAAAACCTGGAAAATCCGGAAAATTCCTATTGGAGCGAAAAAGAATTTTCAGCTAAGGTGCCAAAAAAAATTCAAAAATGGTAAAAACCAGTTTTTACACAACTGGAGAGAAAACTAAAGCTCCTACGGAAAAAAGTTGAATGTAACAAAATTAAATGTGCCCAACAAAAAAAAATGAACCCTCTATGTTTTTTTTGCAAACCTTGGAAAATTGATAACTCGCATTTGAAATTTACATATGTTGTCAGTGTTGTAGTCCTGTAACTACAGTTCAATTTTCAAGCCAAAATGTTGTAAACTTTTTGCAAACCGTCGACTTTTGGGAGCGATTTAAATTTAAAAAAAAAAACGTTTTAATTTCGGCACCGATCATTTGAAAAATATACATTTGTTTAAATAGTCAATAAAAACAGGTACTTTTTACGCGCGCGACGGCGACGCGAGTGGAAGAGGCAGCCAACATAGACCAGTCTACGCTCTGAATTTGCAGAAAAATTATGACCAAAGGTGCCTTAATTTTACACCTGAAAATATACTTTATAACACGTGTTTTTAAATGTGGCTTGTTAGGTTAGCGCGCGATTTGTAACGGTCATTCCCTCCACTGTACTTCGAAGCCGATTTCTCGAAGAAGAAGAAGAAGTAGTGCCGGATGATGTCGGTAATAGTATCTCAACTGAACATGTTTTGACGTGTAAAAAAAAAATTATCCATCTCATGATATGCCATATTTTTTTATTTCGAATAAATGAAAATGATATTATTATTATCAATTCCGCACTCTATACCTCCTTAAATTTTTACGTGTATTGATTTCATTACTAGAAAAGTTTTCTTGCCATCGCATGCGAAGCTGCGAAATTGCAACTTAAATTGAGAAATTCTGCCTACCTGTTCTTTATTGACGAACGACGAAATTATAACGTTTTTCAAAAATAAAAACCCTCCCAATCGCTTCAAAAAAAGGTCACTGCAAAAGTCGACGGTTTTACAACATTTTCACCTGAAAATTTAACTGTTGTTACAGGACCACAACGCTGACAACATATCCAAATTTCAGTTCTCCACCAGTTCCCGTTTTATCTTAACAACGTTTTTCTCCAGACACGAAAAGTTGGTTTTTACCATTTTTTTAATGTTTTTGCACCTAACCTGACAATATTTTGTTATAGTTTTTATTGCATTGAAATCCTGATAGTTGAATAAAGATTCAATGCATCAACAGAAGGCCAATTCTCGTTATAAAAATTCGGTCAAAATTAAGTTCTCTACTCTCGATCACACAAAAGTATTAAACATCTAACGTTGACTGTAATGAGATTATATCGTATGGTGACCAAAAGTTGAATCGGTAATCTGTTAAACTTAGTAACACATTTTATGACATTTGAGATCGAGGGTAGATCGGAACTGAAGCCTAAGTGTGAGTTTATTTCACACTAGCTGACCCGCGCAACTTCGTCTGCGTCTCTCAATAGTAAAAAATTTTCTCCGTTTTTGAAACATTCTTCATTGGTGCTCCGCTCCTATTGGTCTTAGCGTGATGATATATAGCCTTCCTCGATAAATGGGCTATCTAACACTGAAAGAATTTTTCAAATCGGACCAGTAGTTCCTGAGATTAGCGCGTTCAAACAAACAAACAAACTCTTCAGCTTTAAAATATTAGTATAGATTTAGTCGATCGTCACGGTGACTGCGTTCGGCGCATTGGTCTGCTCTGAAATCGGCACCAATCGCTGTCGAGAGCGAGTTGATGTTGAAATAAACATGCAATTTGAACGTATTTTTATTTCGAGAACTGATGCATCAGATGCTAGTCCCGAACCCGTCGATATGATCTATTCAATACAAGTAAAATTTTAACAAAAAAAACCGACTTCAATGGTTTTCTCATGGATTCCATGGTCAGAACTAGACCAAATTGAAATGGGACCACACGGGAAGCACCAGCTTTCCAATAAAAAAAGAATTATCAAAATCGGTTCACCCAGTCGAAAGTTATGAGGTAACAAACTTACAGTCGAATTGAGAACCTGCTCCTTTTTTGAAGTCGGTTAAAAAGTAATACCTGTTTTGCATTTTTATAGTGCATGCACATGACCTTATTTAAAATTATTTCAATAAGTTCGCAAAAATAATTGTTTTCAT